AAAGCTCTGCTCCTCTATTCATAAGGCCGAAAAAACTGATTCGCTCATCTGAGTCATCGATGCTGGGGTACGTGGGTATTCAGACACTTGCTGATGGCATGTGTCGTTATGACTTGAATGAGGAGGATGCAGCTTGGCTGCAGATCACTAACGAGGAGTTCAGTAAAATGGGTGAGCATATCCAGTCTGGAGTTTTCATTTTACACATTATGCACTCAAATTTCTTGCACTCTGTGGAAACAAATGTCACGTCAGGCTAACTGATTTGCCTGTAGGCATGCAACTCCTGGATGAGTTGACAATGGAGCGGGTCATGGAGGAGTTTGAGCGCCGTTGCTATGACAACATGAGCCATGCTATGGAAACGGAGGAGGGGCTTGGCATAGAGTACGATGAGGATGTGGTGTGTGACGTCTGTCAGTCCCCTGACGGCGAGGATGGGAACGAAATGGTGTTCTGTGACAAGTGCAACATCTGTGTGCATCAGGTATGTTTGTTTGGGCACCTGAGTGTGTGAAAGGATGTGAGAGCTCTGAGGCTGCCCCTCTTAAAGGGTGATTTGGACTAAACCCCTAGTTAGAGCCGGACTCCACCCTATTTGAAAAATGCTGGAAAAGTGCAAAGCAAACTAATTGCTTAAATGAACGAATACTAGTCGACCAGTCGCAGCCCTAGCAAGCACATATGAATTACATAAAAATGTATCTTCCCACAGGCATGTTACGGTATACTGAAAGTTCCCGAGGGCAGCTGGCTTTGCCGTACCTGCGCGCTGGGCATCTTTCCCAAATGCCATCTCTGTCCTAAAAAAGGTGGAGCAATGAAACCCACCCGCAGTGGCACCAAGTGGGTCCACGTCAGCTGTGCCCTCTGGATACCAGAGGTAAGGCTGCACGCACAAATTAAGACTTTTAAAGATATTGCGTTAATGACTCGGAAGAGGACAATGTGAGCTCAGAATGGTCTGTTGTGTGTTCTGTATCTGTAGGTAAGCATTGGTAACCCTGAGAAGATGGAGCCTATCACTAATGTGTCTCAAATACCCAGCAACAGATGGGCTCTAATATGCTGTCTGTGTAAAGAGAAAACAGGAGCTTGTATTCAGGTACAGACTGCAGATCTTTCTCTCTTTTTATGCTGTTCATTTGGACATTCAGATCCTTCCAGAGGGCATAGTGCGTTTTAATCTTTCAGTATGAGTGCTGGAAAATTTAAATATCAATTGATAACATCAATAATTTAAAGTTAGTCACTTAGTAATTTCAGGATTTCTAATTTTTGTTTAGTTTTTTGTAAGTGAATTATTTAATATTTATATTTTATTAAAGCTATATTTCAGTTAACAAAAAAGAACAAAAACTGGTCAATATCACATTCTGCATTGACTGCAGTAAAACATTTTGTTTTCCAAGATGGTGCTTCCACGCCACTAGATGTCCTTTTCAATTTACTATTGAGTGCCATGTCAGCCAGCACATGAAAAACAAATACTGAACATAGCATAACATTTTGTTTAAATGTAGAATTTAGTTAATTTATCAGAAATCAAACAAAAAATTCTGCTTCACATTTTACCTATCTTCTGCGGTTTAATCCTGTCATTCACTCTTTCCAAATCCCCCTAGTGTTCTGCCAAAAGTTGCCGTGTGGCGTTCCATGTGACCTGCGGTCTGCATTGTGGGTTGAAGATGAACACGATCCTCACAGATGCAGATGAAGTCAAGTTCAAATCTTTTTGTCCTAAGCACTCAGGCATGGACTGGAATGAGGAAGAGGGGGATGATGACAGGCCAGTGAAGGTCCCGACCAGTGAAGACAGAAGAACAAATAGGGCAGCAGACATCTCCTCCTCTTCACAGCCCAAACTTGCACAAAACACAGAAGAGACCAGACTCAGTGAGCGTAAGCTTCGAGTCCAGCAACTCGAGGATGAATTCTATCGCTTTGTCGCCGCTGATGAAGTTGCCGAGCACCTGCAGTTGCCCCTAGAGATGGTGGACTTCTTGTTACAATACTGGAAGTTGAAAAGGAAAGTGAACTTTAACCAGCCGCTCATCATGCCGAAGAAAGAAGAAGAAGATAGCCTTGCCCGGCGAGAACAGGAAGTGCTTTTGCGGCGACTCCGCCTCTTCACGCATTTACGACAGGATCTAGAGAGGGTATGTTTTGCAGAGCCACATTACCACCTTCAAAAAGGGCTTAGATCAGTATGAGGAAAGATAGCAGCAGCCAATCACTGCTCAGGACAGTTAGATAGCAGGATCCAATCTCTGCCTTCCCTGATCAAATGAACAGTTAGTGAGCTGCAGATAGTTCAATATAGTTCATATTTTATCAAAGTTTCAAACTAGTGTCTTATCATTAACATTTTACATAATTTCTGTTCTAGTTTCATTGTCACACCACAGTCATTATCACATCTGTATCTTTACCTTTAGACCATAAAATATGTTAATAGAAAAAATACCCCCCCCCCCCTTTTTTTTTTTAAATTTGCAGGCTTAAACATGAGTAGTGAAGGCATTTAAATGATTAGCCTGATAGGAAGAAAACAGTAAGGAATGTGATGTAACTGTGAACTCCAGCCACAAGAATTATGTATGTAACCTAAAAACTATTCCCACTTCATAAAGGAATATCTAGACAGATTAAAAAAAAAAAACATTTTTACAGAGCAGTTGATGTAAGTGCTAAACATTCTAAATGTTTTTGATATATCTTGTCTTCAACCCAGAACATTCTTTTCTGTCATCTGTCATTTCCCTATAAGCCTCTGGTTTCTCATGAGAGCATTTCTTCCATGTAAGAAAACGGACTCCCTAGGATATTTTTTCAATTCTCATCATTTTTGTCCATCTACTGAAAGTCCATGCAAACAAACCTTTCATGCATTTGAAAGTTCAAATATACACCATAAAAGTAATCCAAATAAAGCATGTGGTTTAACCCGGGAGATAATTGCTTTACATGAAGCACCGATTTCATTTAGGTTTTAGGTAGGTTTTGTTAAGACTGTAAATAAATATTGTTCAAAGCACATGCATAAAGCACTTAAAATATGGAAGCTCATCTGTGCCTGTTTGACACGAGAGAACAAACCTTATAGGTTATTGAATGCCAAGAAAGATCAGAGAAAATCAGAAATGTCTTTGAAAAACTTTGGACTGAAATGGTGGGTAAAAGATGACATTTTAAAATTTTAGGTTGGCTATTGCTTTAAAAAGTCGTCTTGCGTACATGTATGTGTTCAGGTGCGTAATTTGACGTACATGGTCAGCCGTCGGGAGAGGATTAAACGAACCGTGTGCCGAGTGCAGGAACAGATTTTTCATCACCACGTCAGGCTGCTTGAGCAGGGACGCGTTGCCGGTTAGTATGATGTTTTCTACACTCACAGAAAAAGTTTTTTCCCCTCGTTTTTAACTGTTACCTCTTCCTTTACTCTCCTGGGCAGGGATATCCTCTACTAGACGTTTGGAGGAGGCCATGTTTTACTTTCGAACAGCGCCACCGGTGCCTGCGTCCCCCCAGCCTCTAAAGGGTCACTGCGGGCAGAACAGCGCCCTGGGCTCGACTGAGAAAGGGAGCAACCCTTATAGAGTCTCAAGGCATATCGAAGCAGACAAGCCTGCAAAGATTCCCAGACTGGACAGCCTGGTCATGGACAATGTTCCCAATTCTGGGGTCATTGATTCAGGCTCTGGAGCTTGTAAAATTCAGAAAAATGAGACCGCGGCGTCAGCTACAGTGAAACGTTCAGAGGGCAGGCTTAGGGGTGGTGAATCTCATAGAAGAGATGAGGAGAGTGAGTGCCCCCTGGAGGACAGGAGGAGGAGCAAGTTGTGGGACCAGGTGTCCATCAAAGACAAACTCAGACCGTCAAAGTCTATTGAGGATAAGACGGAGCTCGACAACATGGATGAAAGATTGTTGCTGTCTCACAGCAGAACCTCTTCTAGTTCTCCGACCATGTATAACGGATCGCCGAGGAAGATGAACGCGAGCCAACATCAGGGAAAATTAGTGCCAAATGGAACAACTAAGAGGCATCTGAAAAACTGGGGCAGTTTCAGAATCCCCAAACGGAGTGAGAGAACATCAACAGGGAAAGATGTGCAGGACAGAAATGAAGTGGTGGACCAAACTTCCTTAAGAACTTTTAATACAAGTCCCGCCGCCGCCTCCCCTCAAATTAGGACCCGGCTGCGGACAGGAAGTGAGAACCGAAACCATGTGGAAGAGTCTGATCTTGGCCAATCAGAGCAGGGCAAGAGGTGTCACACCCAAAGACTTCGAAGCCCGATGACTAGACGTTACGGTTCGGATGTGATCCAACGCGGAGTACTTGCATCATAAAATGTGTCCAAAATTTTTATTTTTGTCCTCCTCATTTGCTTTGCGATGAAAGGTGAACAGGTGGATTGATATTTATTTTTCTATTCCGTAATTTTCTGCTGTTGCTGAAATAATTTTTTGGTGTGTTCGTTAAAAACCAACGCTGAGAGGTTTCAAAGACCAAACAATTGGCTGATAAAGAATAAAAATATCTTCACAATATTGAATGAAACTTCTAATCAGGTGAAAAAACTGGGACAATTCATAGATAAGTTATGAGCACTTGTAGGATGTAACCAGCGTGAAACAAAGCCAGTACGGCCCGACTGTCTTAAGTCCCATAGAATTACTGCACTTAACTGAGCACTTAACTGTTTAAAAAATATTAACCAGTGTCCATGATTTAGGGAAGACTTTTTAATTTATTTCTCAGTATTTAGCTAACTTTAAAGGCCATCATTTGTGTATGTTTGATATGTGCCATACTTACCCTGTGGCACCTTTTCCTTCTCAGGTAAAATCTGCTTATATTTGTACTTAATTTATAGTGTTATGTCTTTCTTTTTTCAAACAAAAGGCCAATGCCTTATATGTACTCTCTTTGGTCTTGAAGTAATTCCTTTCCAGAAAAAATACAAATAAAAATCAACTTTTTCAGTTAACCATATTCTTCAGCAATAGATGGTCACTGTAGACCCAGACAGATCCACAATCAGTATAATGTATGTCAGAAAGGCTTTTAACAATCATTTACTTCCAGTATCCATTACTTTGAATTTAATTTTGCACTTGATATTAAACAATAACTCAAGACACTATCATAGTTGTAATGAAGACACTTGTGTTGAAAGGACTGATCTTCTTGATATGGTTGCCTTGGAGCAGTACTTAAAATATGTGTTCTTGCATCTTTTCTTTATAGCTGTAAATCTCTCTTCTCATGCAAAATGTGAGTTGATCTCCTTGAGAAAAAGTTTATCTTGTGCCTGAGTGTTTTTGTCAAGATGTTGCACTAGAACATTAGCCAGAGAGCTTGGTATAACCATGCTCACAGAGGAAAAAAAAGTTTCTACATGTTTATATAATCAAGCACTGCTGTATTTTTCTTCTTTGTTTTTCTTTTATTCTTATGCAATACTTTAGTTTTGTTGCAGATTGTGAATAAATTTTCTTGAGGTTACTTCTGGAAATATCTGGATCTGAAGTTTTCAGCATTTATAATACAGGGCTCCAAACTAAAGAAAAATGCAATCATAGAGATTGTCACTCATATTTGGAAATCAGATTACTTTTTACTGGCAAAGTACAGAACCGATAAAAATTGTTTATTTCCCTTTTGATACCGTCATTGTAGTGATTCTGATTCTATATGTGCCATATAAAATGTCATCGTCAATCTTTTTCACTTACAATTTATTACTTGAATATCTTTTCATTTTTTTATTAGGACAAAACTGTATATATGTATATGTAGCTTTAAAAACAAACAGTAGTTGCCGATTCATTTCAAATTTGTCATTATTCATTATTCAGGGATGTAATCAGCTGCAAACTCAATAATGAATAGATGATTCACAGATGAGTCTAATTCGAACAACAAACATGTTCAAAACTTTTCAACTGACTCGAAAAGAACAAGGATAAGCCAACAAATTGATGATAAATCAAGCATCGCAGTTGTTTAATGCAGGAAACACTGTCATGTCTAAAGATGTTGCCTAATTACCACCAACAACATACAAGATAACATCTGAAGATCACTGTTTTCCCATCTCACCAATGGCGTTCTAGTCTTGAGCCCTAAAATGCCACTTGCACTGTCGAGTTCTAGGAATTGCATGAACAAAATACCTTGAATGCAATCTAAGCTGCTTTGAATCAGCCTCTGCAAGGTACATAAATGTAAAGTTTGAATATTCAGCGTATTTTAAACAGTGTATTTGAACAATCTTATATTAAATCCGTTTCTATTAAGAGTGCAAATATCCTGGTAATAATACACTTATTACATTAATGTAGAATCCTTAACATCTCAAACTGATTCTGGCTTCCACCAATTTAATTTTTAACAAAAAAACGTTTTTCGATCAAGGCAGAAACCTACATTGTTTTAACCTACATTTCATCTCCAAATTGGGTCCTAAAAATAAACCTATGATCCCATCAAATGCTAAGACACTTGTCTGTAGTTACTGTTCTTCAAGTTCTTCATTATCATACCCAGACTCTTAAAGTGGACTTTTCAATCTTTAAAGTCCTCAAAGTTCAATCATATCCTAAACGGGCAGTGAATATACAGTTAATGGTGTGCTCAGATTTGACCCCGGGCCTCTTCCATAGGTCCTTTGTTCATGTTGGTTTGTTAGTATCTTTGCACATTCTGCTATGTGTTATCAATCGATGGCATGTCGTGTATAGTCACAATAGTTGAGCCACTGTTGGTGCTGAAATGCTCCCCATTACTCTGCTCCACATTTCCCAGTTCGACCCGTGGAATGCGGAACCCGTTTTCTGAGGACGCGTTAGACTGCGCAAAGCTTCCAGAGACTGAGTTCGCACCCACGTTGCTCATGGCCATGTTTGTATTTGTGGTAGTTGTGGACACTTTCTTCCGTGGTTTGCTGGAGCTTCCTGCCATCATCCTTTTCGCATGCGTCCTCCTGTCAGATAAAGTATTGTAAAAATGGAGCGATAAATAGATAAATGTTTTTCAAAAAGAATCAACCATCATACCATATTGGTTATCGGCCGATATTGAAGTAATTTATATATAATTGAATGCTAATAATTGAACTTCCCTTGAATTTCCCTTCCAATGGCGGAATTTTCCATTATTTATTAGACTCTGCGTCCGAAAAACACATCTTCTCTTGAGTATGTAAGCTACTTATTTTGAATGAGCAATTACTTCAGGACCGCTAGAAAAGTATGTTCTATCAGTATGTACTGCATTCGCCATGTTGTCATTCTCATGTGACCTAACAGCATCAGTTATGTTGCTTCACTGCCATTCATATAAACCCTCTCCAGTAGCCTCATGAGATAGTGAAGTGTGCAAAAATAGTATGCATACTTCAGAATCTTTTATGAGTAGGCCTACTGTGAATTAACACATATACTTAGGCTAGTAAGGAAGTATGTGATTTCAGATGCAGCCATAGCTTTTCTGCCATTGATGGAATTTGTAGGCTTTCCGTGTTTTTACTATTATATGTTAGGGGGCGCTATTACATAACTTCTGAAACAATACAGAATCTACGGAACTAAACACAGTCATGACAGCAGAAACAAGCCATAAAAGCATTGTTTATGCACATGGTAGTCTTTTTGAGGGGGGAAAACCGAGATGGTCTTTACTGCAGAACACGAAATCCAGATCCAACTCCTCCCACCTAAATATATACCTAATCCTACCCCTCTCCACCACCTGATCCCTAACCCCACCCCTAATCCTACCCCTCTCCACCCCCTGATCCCTAACCACACCCCTGATCCATAACCCCACCCCTAATCCTACCCCTCTCCACCCCCTGGATCTCGTGTACTGCAATGAGGTGCTACTGATTTTTTCAGCTTTTTTGTTTAAAATGTTGCATTTTTTTATGAAACTTACCCACATTAATGAGTTGATTAAAAAAATGCAGGAAAGCTTTTCATACTGTAGTGTACTTTATAATGTGATGCTTAAAATTAACTTATTTTACCGGTATATTGACGACTTGATGATCACTAAAATAATAAACCATATAAATACATTTAGTTCTCTTAATTAAACAGATCTGAATCTTCCATAACCTGTTCCATTCAGCCCTGAGAACATTTTAAGAGTGTCTTTGTCCTCAAGTGGATTTTGAAAATGTCATGTCTATTTTTAGGCCTCATTAAAAGGTCTGTCTAAAATTGTCCTGCTATTGTGATGAGATAGAAAAGGTGTTCTGTTCACCTCATGGAATGTAAGTCATTCATTATGGTTTACATCAAAATGTTGCCATACCTGTTGTACGTCTTGAGGACTATAAGCAAAAACGTGAGAATGATGATTATACCAATGACGATTATCGCTATCATGGCTCCTGAACCTGTAAACAAAACAAACAGGGAATGTTTTATTAGACACAAAACCTCAAAACCAATAAAGCCAAAACTGCAAGAAATAAAATGTAAGCAAAATTCATGTTGTTGTAGTTAAAAAAATAACAATGAAAGACACCAATAAAGACATTTAGAGAATGGGCGTTCATTTGATCACAAAATTAGTAAAACAGTAATAGAATACCCTATACAAAATTTAATGTGAATCTTTTAAAACATGCTGTAGAACAAGTTCCAAGAGAATGCTCATGCTCTAAATTTCTCACTCTCACACAGCATGAACAGCGTATTGCAACACCTTCAGGCTGTCTACACTTGACGTATCAAAGTGAATGTTACAAGCGTAGCACAAGCATGTGTAGTACGTCAGAAATTTGGCATCCAGTCAGACTTTATCATTAGCCATGTATTAAAATGCATTTTGGTCAATCGGATCACAAGTTGACAATGCTAAATACAGGTGTGTACACAGGGTCTAAAACGTTTTGAGCCTGTCCACTTTCGACCACTTCCAGAGGTTTGTCGAAAACACATTTGACCAGATTACTTTCTTTAGATTCTCACATTCCAACAGCCACAAAAGACCTCCTCTCTCCACCTACTGACATAATGCGTGAAGATTACAGGAAGCACGCAAGTCCATTAGATCGAAAGATCTGGGGAAAAAAACATGGACCCACCCATAGACCTTTGAAGAAAACACAGGACAGAAGTGATTGAAAGTGGACAAAAGAGACAGATTATAACACCAGGCTTAAACGGTAATGCGTTTCCCTCGTCTGCTTGTGATCCGATCCACCAAAACGCATCTTATTACCAGGTGTAAACAGGGGAATAGAGTATCACAGATATGAAACTTACTTTGCATGAGGATTTGTTCTCTAGACTTGGTGGTGGCTGTGGTGTTCTGTGTTATTGTGGATTGGGTCACGGATGTTGTGGCCGCCCTTTGCATCTTTAGATTTGTCCTGAAAAAAACAAAAAGGGAAAAAATGTTCAAACAATACCACTTACTTTGATTTATAGATTTTAATTTTACAATTCATAAACGAGCAAGGAATGATTTAATGTTATCATTTTACTTCAGCAACAACAACATTTCAGAATGTTTTCTTTGTGTGCTGGGCCTTTGGCTCTACGGATTTCGAAATTCACATTTTTATTTAATCTAGGATGAACTATTGCAATTCACTGTATTTGGGGACTAGTCAGCAATCACTATTCCCACTTGCAATATGTCCAAATTGCTACAAAACAGTATTTGTGTGGTGTAAAAAATAGGGAGCATATTACCCATATTCTACGTTCACTACATTGGTTACCCGTGCGTTTCAGAGTAGAATTTAAAGTACTATTATTAGTTTATTAATGTTTCAATGGCTTAGCACCAACTTATTTAACTGAACTGCTGACTGAATATAAACCATGCAAGGTAACTCCGCTCATCAATTCAAGCGCTATTGAGTACCCCAAAATCGAGGCTCAAATGTAGGGGAGATCAAGCGTTTTACATCGCTGCCCCAAGGCTTTGAAATACTTTACCTATTATCTTAAGACAAGCTCCATCTCTTCTGACTTTTAAATACAGAATTTCTTTTTATGTTCGAAGGCATTCGATTGTATCTTGTGCTGTAAATGTGATCTTATGTGATTTTTATGTTCTTGTGTGATCTTTAGGTCTTTTTCTGTCATTCTGTCTCGTCTGTTGGTTATTCTTTAAATGAACTTAATTACATTGTGGAAACCACATTGGTCAACAGCTGTTGTTTTAAATTGCACTATACAAACAAATTGTCATTCATTATGTTCAGTAAACTGCTCATTAGTTTAGAAACCCTATGTGCATTATAGTCTCAAAATGGTAATTTTATTTTATACTGCTTTTACTGCTAATTCTACATCTACATGGCATATCTGCCACCAAGATTCCATTCGATAAGATTTCATGTCAGCTTCCTGTTTATGTGCTTTTTAGTCACTTGACAGAGTGATTATATGTTTAAATGGTTTGTCAATCTGTTGATGAATGGCTGAGAGGTGTATATCATTCTCCCATATATCTGTCAGCAATAAACATCTCACACCCATCAACTTCCGTTTTTTTGTTTTTTTTTTTAAATCGCTTAATGCAGTACAGTGTGTCCAGCTCCATTAGTCTGTCCAGCAAAGTCATGGTCCATATTGGAACAAATTTGTTTGTACTCGGTGAACTCTCAGTTCTGGTGCATCGCTGACGTACTGAACTGCAGTGGCTCGCCGCAACCCCAAAATTATACAGCTGCTGTTGGTTTTAGATTTAACTGACTGTGGAGTATCCTCGACAATACAATCAGAGCTGCTTCAAATGAAAATGGCTCGGGCTATAAAAAGCTGAATAACCCAGAACACACATAATCTCCATCCATTTCCCCCAAATCACCCAACCAGTTATATTCATACAGTTTACATCTTTGCAGACTCTCTCATTCCTACGTACTCTGTAAAAAAATAAAAAAGGGCCACATTTTGACAGTAACATACCGTTTTCCATTAAAACAGCAATATACTAGAAAAAAACGCATTCTGGGTGTTATATGTCGTTTTCGAGAAAGTACCCTACGGGAATATACTGTGAATTAACAGCTATCAAAGTCAACATTCAGAGAGTGTGTTTCAAATCACACCCTATACCCCCAGTCACTATTTCCTACATTAGTTCAATAATATAGTCCTATTGACTGAGTGATTAAAAACACTGATGAACACCTGCTGTTAACAAGCAGAGTCAGGAAAGGAAAGAGGAAAAATAAGTACAGAAAAAAAGATTAAATCAACTGAAGATAAAATATATGAAATCTCTGAAGATCTCAGCAGAGGAGGATTAAATAACTCCACAAACAGCATTACCAGCTTCACTTATTACTAACCAGTTTGACTTTATTTCTGTCCGACATCTACAGAAGGTCTTATTAAAAGGTGACAGAGGTTTAAATGTCATTTTATTTTCATTTGATGTTATCATGATGGTGATCAATGATTGCTTTGGGCTCTTTAACCTTGACTTTTTCTTTGGCTGAAGTAAATGCGTTTTTAAAATATATTTGCTATTGCAAAGAAGCTGAAAGAAACCAGGATTAGATGACAGTTTTGTTAATGATCACAATCATCATTTATTGGCCTGATTCACTGATCTCATTTATTGTCTAGTGTGATGTTTTGTAATTTTGATTATATTATTACTGAGATTTTACAGATTGAGATCTATCAGAGTTTTGACAACCATGAAAATATAAAGAATTGTAAAAATTTAATGCTCAGAACACTTTGAACTTCAATATTAGAGAGAGGCACATAGACATCAAGAATAGGCGTATGAATCTCAACAATGGTGACAAAAAAATTTCATGCTGCAATGCATGTTGGGTTGGTACCCATTGTACAAACAAAAAAAATTGTGCAAGACTCCCAGCATGCTTTGCGGCATGAAGAAATTATGCAGCTGAATTGTCTGGTTATTTTCTTGAATTTGTAGACTACTTTTTGCTTTTATTTTTTATGTTAGTTTTGAGTTGACTTTTTTTCAGATTTGATGTTATCTTTTTTTGGATTGTCACCATGTTGAGATTCATTGGCTGATTCTTGGTGTCTCTGTGTGTCTAACCGATGTTATAGTTAAACATTTTTTTGGGAATGATGAGTTTAAAAAATCAATATCATTAACTTCAACACAAGTTTTTAAACTTAAACTGTTTAAAGCATCCTCGAAATGATTTCCCATATGATGTGAGTTTCCTTCCATGGTATTTTTACAGTAACATACTGTAAAAAAAGCAGAGCTCTATTAACGGTAGAGACCTGTAAAATAACAGTACTTTGCTCAACGAATTCTCACCCCAAGGCGTCACCTTTTGACCATGCTTCAATATTCAACGCTTCAGGCGCCCTTTAGCGTCAGTTACATGACGCGATCCATCTAAAAAGCATCAGTTAGATCAGGGGTTCTCAACTCCAGTCCTCGCGACCCACTGCTCTGCATATTGTGTATGTCTCCCTTACTTAACACACCTGATTCAGATCCTCAGCTCGTTAAGATAGACTCTACGGCTATCCTAACGAGCTGAGGATCTGAAGCAGGTGTGTTAAATAAGAGAGACATACACAATATGCAGAGCAGTGGGTCGCGAGGACTGGAGTTGAGAACCCCTGAGTTAGATGATGTGGGTAGGTTTAGGTCTGGGGCAGGGGTAGGGTTACACGCGATCCTAGGACGTCATCTAACTGACGCTAAAGGGTGCCTAAAGCGTCAGATATTGAAGCATGGTCAAAATGCTTCCCAAGGCGTCAGTTAGGTGACGCCTTGGGATGAAACCACAGCTGGTAGATCCAGTAGATCACTGTTATTATACAGCGTAATTTTTTAGAGTGATGATCACACACTTTCCAGCACAAGTAAAGTCTATTCTTCACCTGCTGATTATATTCAAAACATGCAAAACCTTGAGTTTCATAACAGCTATTACACATTCTGACAGAGTGGGCGTCACAGCAGTGTTCAGAGTCTTCTAAGTCTAAATGAGTAAATCAGTGAAAAATATGTTTACCAATTGTATAATTTTGGGACACTTTTAACTGTAATAGACTTTGGAGTGAATATTACAACTTTATTTTGAGGTCATTTGGCTGGTCTGCTAAAGATTTTTAGTAAGATATAGTATTAGACTTTTTAAAAATCAGTATCAGATGATATTGAAAACGTATTGTTCATGCTCATTTCCTCTACTTTTACATTTAGATTAACACTTAAAGAGAACTCTAGAAAATCTTTGAAAACACTAATTTAACAACACTGTTAATGTAATTTTTGGAAATCTCAAAAGGAGTATCTATGGTACATTATAATGCTGTGATGCTTTAATTCACTTGCACAGAAACAATATTTAGACAAAAACAGGAGTTCGTATTATTTAATTTAATTGTTTTTTTGTCAGGGACAATGCAAATATATGGATTATATGGCCATAATCATCAATAAATTACTTTTGATATCTAATCGGTTATTTTTGTGTCCTACAATTTATATGCAGATTCATGTGCATATGTTATTTAACAACAGATGTCCATCTATTATTTATCACCTCAAGGAAGCAGAAGTAAACCGAATAATCTTGATCTGAGATGAGAAAAGACATTTTTAGAGGCACCTATAACCTGCATTTATTTACACAGTTGCCAAGCTCATCCTCCTATTTTCAGTGCATCGCTTCGTAAAACAGACTCTTCTGTTCCAGACAGGCCATAACGTCCGAGGCTGGCTCTTATGAGTATTTCTGACAGAAGCAATCAGCTTTGATGGAAAGAAAAATACAGTGCCTGTACCACCAAAGAACAGCAAATAGTTGTAAATTCTGTTGCCTGAGCTACAAGGTGAATCACAGGACATCAGTATGGAGCTCGGTTTCACACCACCATAAACCAGACCATAATACACTCTCAGGTTTGAAGTGTCAGACTGTGCCACTTCATTTAATTTATAACCACTTTACAATCTCACAGATGAACACAGCTGCTGCGGAACAGAACAAACCTTGAATCCTGCCAGAGCCACATTTCTGCTAAATTCAACTCAACAATTTAAAGCTTCTGGATCAAAAGCTGATAATAAAAATAAAAATTAAACAAGCTTATTCTAAAATCAAAAAGGACAGTAGCATAAATGATGTTTTAGAAAATGTAGATATTTAAATATAAAATTGTTATTTTAAGCAAAAAAGTGTGTTTGGCTTTAAATTACAGTGGTTATATTATTGAGTAATTATTTACACCCAACACTTCTCCACAGAAATACAAATCACCATATGATTTATACACATAATTGTATTAATCATAATTACCAATTATTCCAGTTTCAAAACAGTATTTAGTTAGTTTATAATTCTGAACAGCTTTTCGTCTCAGGTTTAGAGTGAAAAAAAAAAACCTAGGGAGAAAACTGCAACTCTAGAAAGCACCCAATCAATCTTTCTATCTTCCATGGAAGTGCGTTTTTAAAATTGTTGTCAGTAAAAGGTGTGGTCATAACTCATTACAAAAGATTTTTTTTAAGTCTGCTTGATTGTTTTCTAACAATTGGGTGATAATTGTATATTTTTTTTATTCATTCATTTTAAATAAGCTATTATAATTGTTTCTGCTAAAATGTAACCACTTGTCACTGGTGTAATGTAATCCACCAATCTATTAACTAATGAGTAGGTCAAATTCACAAACATATATGTGTGTCAATGTCAGTCAATTTGGTGTAACATTCAATTTGATCAATTTGAGTTAAGATCAGGTCTCAGGAGTCAATATTTAACCAGTAAAAAAAACCATTATATCACAGGTGCGCTCACGCATGTCTGGCCTTCAGTGCACGTCACAGACCTGACTACAGCCTTTCAATACACACAAGATCAGTCCTCAGTTCCCTTGACTTGAACAATGGTCCATTCATCACTTCTGTATGTGTCCGTCTGAAGCCGGATTCTTAAAAAAAGAATTCCTCTCTCACTAAAAAAAACTACTGCTTCAAAACTAATTTCAGTCTAAACGAACCCAGCCAGACTCTTCACAGGAACCCTCAGTATTGTTCCAGAACTATAGGACACAGTAAGCAGCGACTGGCCTGCCAGAGCTTTGTCTGCAATGTCAGTCTAAAGATGCAATTAAGTCAAAAAGTTAAAAAAGTGATTGTGTGTTTATCAGAATCTCAGAGGATGTGCAGAACAGCACTTCCTCTTGTCCTTTCAGAAAAGGAAAAAAACAACAATGTGATAGTTCCTACTAGGAACCTCGTTAGTTCAATATCATCATTATATGATCAGACGTTAGTGATAAACACAAAGCGAGAGGAAGAAACCTAACATCAGGCCTTCATATATTATACATGTTAATAGTTTCTCATATTATTTGGACTAATATATCCCAGATTCTTCATGTGGTAACTTTATTGAAAATAATAGTGCAGAAATTGCTAGTAAGTCTCTCAAAGCATTACAAAGAATTGGCAAACATTAATTGAAAGTGAAATGTTGAAGTAGAAAGGCTGAAAAAGTATTTTCATGTAAAACATAGGCTACTCCAATAATCTTAAACTTGTAAAAACAGTTTATGACTAAATTGACCTGACTATATAACAAAAACAAATATTTTTAAGGGTCAGATCAGGTAGAAATTTCACTTTAAGGTAAGAACAGCAAAAGTTTACGTTTTAGTCTATCTGCCATGAAACATGATCCGACCTAGTGAGATCTGAGAGTTTGTTTACTCTAGTTAACAGGTTTGCTTCTATTTTAGCTGACAGATACAAAGTAAGTTGAATAATAGCCACTTATTCAACTCGCTTTGAATATACACAATCTGTCCATCTCAATAACTTTCCTACACACACCTGAGGCATACAGCCAAAGACTCTCTGAGGCCCCAAGATGACAGGAGATAAATCACACACAAAATTGAATGTACACATAAAATGTGAAAATAGGTAAACCAGTTGCAATGTGGCTTACCTGTACGATCAGTTCCCTGTCGTGGGGTTTCTCTCTCCGCAGAATCAATCCCTCCACTCCCCCTTCTTTAATCGACTGAAGTGAGCATAGTCCACATTCACTTTCCCTCGCACACACGCCTGCTAACAGAGCTGGGACACAAAAACAAAATGGAAAGCCTGTCTGAAAGGAGTTTGAAAAGGTAGAATGAGTGAACGTTCACTTCAGGTGTGATTGAAAAGTGAAGAAGTTGAACGCATTGGATGGTTTCAGCACTTGGCAGAGAGGTTGAGACGACGTGCCATATCAGAGCTCTCTGGACTGAAAGCGGTAGCTGGTTTTTCAGGTCTGGCCTGGCCCCCAAGGCGTGCCACATTTACAACACATGCTCCGTTCTCAGTCATTACTCACCTTTAATTAAACACACACACACACATAGAGAGAGAGAGAGACCGGATTTCTGATGAACTTTCTCTGTGACTGAGAAAATCATTACAGGATTGTATTAGTACTCCTGCTGTACCCATGCAAATCAAGGGCCACAGAGAGAGCTGATGTGGTTTACAGATGATGTCTTATCAGCCTCATTTAAATATTCAATCAGATTCCCTTCAAGTACATCCTTAACAAACACTCAATTGCAATCAGATGATTTGAGCTGCTATACCAGAACATCCGAGTTGTTTTGATTCTTATGGTTTTCATTTGAAATTGAACATCCTGTTTTTTTAAGATAATAAATATATTCTAAGGATCAGAAATTATAAATCTGTTTTTTTTAAGTAACGTTAAAAGATCAAGTTGTGTGTTTATGAACTGTGTAATTAATTAATTCCTGAGAATTTATATTTGAGCGTAATTTACTAATATTAATATAACTAGGACAGCATTAAGTCTATGTTTAGATGAGTCATACTTTGGTGTGTTCTGTAACTCTTTCTTTTTGAAAGCAACTCCCCGAAAAGGGTACATTTCATCATTCTGCCACGAAACACACACAGACACACACACCTGTTTTGTAACAGAAAAGCGTCAATAAAAGAAAGGGGACGTTTGTTCTTTTTGAGGGATTCCTTCCTCTAAGCAGGGATCCCATGACAGAGTTTCACTCATGGGTTTTCCAGACGGCCAGCCCGGGCCATTTGCCACAGTGGGAATCAAGTTACCTGTAAAGAGAAAAAGTATTTTATTTTATTTTTCTTTCTTTCTTTCTTGAGACTTTCACTTTCTGTTATTCCTCTTTTAGATACAGTGTTTAATATGAAAACAGATTTAACATACAGTACATTCACCCATTCTATAAAGTTCTAACTCTTCCTCGTCTTTTTTTGTGAAGTGTAACTAAGCTTCATCGACCCCGATTCAGTTTGTCCCAGTGGGAAAATGTGGTTCTTGTGTTTGGCGGTCTGCACTCTTTTTCTTTTCTCTGTGGTAAACTTTTGTCAGATGGTATCATTATATAACAAGAACACTTTTAAAGGTCCTGCTCAACTTTCACTGAAGGAGAGTGGAGACACAAAAGAGACTCCATTGTCTTTGGCCTCAATCTAGTTAAAAAAACTGAAGGCCTTCGCTACAGGTTCTTACGTATATCATCTGATTTGATTGATTAATTGGTATTTTACAATGGTTTAGTCATGGGATGGGCTGTTCCTCATGCAAAATAAACAATGACTCTGATAGGACTGACTATTTTATAGATGTTGGCTTTTAAAGGAAATTTTAAAAAGCTAATTAAAAAAGTGTGGCAACAGGTAATTTCATCTTTCTCACCCTGTGGTTCTGGAATGCTTAGCCTATAATGCAAACGAATGCTTAGCCTATGAACAATAATTAAAAATTGAGTCTATTAACTTTACTTGTTCCTTAAAGTTACGTGCATACACCATCTTCCCCTTATGTAATGAAAATAAATGGGAATATACTGCAACATATAATGTGATATTACATATTACATTTCCATAGGGGAAACAACTAGTGCTAATACTTTTCAATATACTGCAATATATGTATTGAGCATGTATGGCTATATTGAAAGCCTACATAAACAAAAATATTAGCATTACACAAAAATAGCATTACATGTAATATTCATCAAGTTTATTGTGCACATGTATTAAACAAACACGTTTCCATAAATGCAGAGTCAACAACATTTACTTTAGTAGCCTACTGTAAGTATACTTTTTGAGTATGTGTACTTTATTTATTTATTTATTTATTTATTTTTTACTATTTGAAAGACAAATTTCATACTTTTTACTCCACAATCTGTCAAGGTGATTGAGTAGAAAGTAATAACGTCAGTCAGGGGATGATTTTGCTCGGACAGATGTTGGATTTTGGTCGGAAATGAAAGTTGGGTTGACATCAGAACCTGACGTTGGATTGAAGTCATAACCTGACAATGGGTTGAAGGTTTTGGAGCACACTAGCTTATAGATATAACCGTATAAGGCTAACATATTCATAAAAGCCCAAAAACTTGAGGGCATTATTTGAGGGAACAGCCATTTGGGTGTCGAAACCATTGTGGACGTTATTGAGTGCAATTAAATCTCACATTCAATCCCACTACTGGAACTGTGTTCTAGAAATAAATTTAATATTCATATGAGGGTAGGTAGGCAGGCAGGGACAGATTCAGAGGCATGGTACTGTTAGTATTACATACAACAATGCAACAATAATGTTGCATTGCACACATTGACTTTTTACTTAGCCTACTTTTACTTAAGGAGAAATCTGTCTACAAAACTTTTACTTGTAACAGAGTAATATTTGACTAGTATCTCTTTCACTCAAGTAAGGAAGTTGTTTACTTTTTCCACCTCTGTATGAATGTCAATGCATGTACACATAGCACACACTGGAATGATTTGCAGCAGATTTCAAGTTCACAGCAAGCGTTGCTTCTATTGAAGGAGAATAAATGTTCAAATTAAATGTTATTTTTTTTGCTCGATATTAATATAAGGGGAGATCTGTAACTTAATGTTCTATTATAAAAGTGTTTATGTCTGAGTTTTTAGGGTTACCATTGTGCCAAGGTATAGCCGGTGGTTAGGTCGACGGTGATTGGCCAGAGGAGTGGTGATGAAGTGCTATTTTATGCATAGTGAGTAGGCTATTTTACACTGTTAAAAAGTTGGATTCCCATGCTAAACATGGACAAAATTTCAAAAATTAAGTTGTAGTTTTGATTGAGTATTTCTGTTCTCAAAACACGCGTATGCGTAGCCTATTTCCTTATACGGTCCTAAGGGCACTTCTCTCGGAAGGGCGCGCGCGCAGTTGCGCTACAAATGTCACCAAAGAAGTGTGTTCGGTTGCCCAAGGCAAGACAACACTGCACCGATTCCCAAAGAATCAAGCGCTAAGGGACCAGTGGATGGACTTTGTTTTTCCAGAACATCAACACAGTTGTGCAAGTGTTCTTGTTTGTTCCATGCATTTCGAGGATGATTTTTTTTTATAAACAAGGCCCAGTTCGAAGCCGGGTTTGCTAATCGTTTAGTTCTCAAGGATGGAGCAGTCCCAACACTAAAGGTTAACGGTCTTGCGTGCGTTGGAACCGCAGGCGGTGAGTAGAACTGCTTCAAATGTCTGTGTGTCTATCGGCGTGAAGCACAGCAAGTAGGCTAAACAACATGATCACGTATAGTTAATGTATCTATGGAGCATGCATGCGATGTATGGTGTGTGTTTGTTTAAATGCATTTGTTTAGGTGGCTACTGTAGGTGTCTGTTTGTTTATTGTCAAACCAAAACTCAAAACTGAGTTCTAAAAACACAGCGCTCAAGTTCCAATCATTTATAATTTTTAAAAACACTCGAGACCTCGCGCGCTCGTGATTATTTAGCTCCGCCCACACGCCACGCCTCCACCCGCTCGGCTTTTCCCGGAAAGACTCGGTACAGCCTATCTTTCTTTTATAAATATAATAAAACTAAAGACTTTTTGGAGATATGATGAATGCAATATTACTCTATAGGTACATCAGAGCTCGAGCTGAAGCTGCTTCATGGAGACCCTCTCCAGTGGACAGCAAGCCAAATAAGTTTAACCTAATATCCTAAAGATTTTATGGGCAAACAAGCTCATTAACTGAGGCGTTATGTTTCTACAGTTAAAGAGAAAATGATTGAGCACTCTTCAACCCATTGTTGATCTCCTATCTAACTAAATAGCAAGCAGACTTGAAGCTTATAAATAGTGTAAGCAGGTGCGCTTGTATGAAACTATGAAAGTATCAAACGCATATAATGTGTGAATACAAAATATGAGAAATGGGTAGCTTATTTTCTGTAATATATTTCTTTGTGAGTGTGTATACTTCATGAGTAAATATATGTTCAATATATTTATACACATGTCATATCTATCACATGTAAAACTAAATGTTATCAAAGTGTATTACTGAATATGAAATTACATACATTATGATATATGTAAATATATTTTCACATATTTTCCAATATATGAAAGCGGCAATTCCTTATGTGTTTTATTCAATATATTAGAATATATTTACACAATATGTTATTATGTAATTTTTCTAATACACTGTTACATAATTTAATATATATTAGGAAATATACTTTCTTAGTGTTAGGGTCTTTACATGTACACAAGATAAGAGCTAAAGTCAGGCTGTTTCCATTGGTCATCAGCAAACACATGACGACTGCTGGTACACACTGCACTGTAATCAGTGATTACACATCCGGCCTGAAGATTAGACTGTTTACATTGTTTAAGCTGCCTTCGTTTGTCATATATACCATTGTGGCTACCTTTTTCTTCTCTAATAGACTGACTCTCACGCAAAGCCTTCTCACATATTTGTTTGGAAACTTCAGCCACACTTCAATGATTTACACTGTAGATAATAAAATATAGGCTTTTTATTTAATTTATCAGTATTAGACTAAATTGGATTTGCCCTACATTTACCATCTGATGCTCTCTTGAAAAAAACAAAACAAATCACCATAATTTTAAATATATTTACACATCTATCGGTCATTTTTCATTTATCTATGCAGCCCACCCCGCATGACTTCCAGGAAAATACTAGGCCAAGGCTAAATAGTGCGCACAATTTACTATTTCGTACCCACGATTTGCTATATCATGAGCGCGATTTAGTAAATCGAGGTAATGAATTAGTAAATTTTGCAAGTCAAGTGTGGGGTTACGGTTTCCATTACATGAGAGTAGATGTTAAAACTGCACGCTGATTTGTACTCGGCTTTCGCTAAGATAAGCACAAACTAAGACGTAGCTTTACAGTAGCCGATGCTTCTCCATCCATTTACGCTTCTTTCCATATGGTGATGTGAATCTCCTTCTGTCCAGTGTTAACGGCTGCAGTGTACTTGGCGTGTCAGCACACACATCAGCTGCAACTACAGTATGGATTTTTTTCTCCCCAGTGGATTTTTAATATGAAGCCCTCATTTTGTCCTTCCGATGTTCTGATGTAATCAGATTTAATCTTACTTGACACATTTGAGTCTGGTTCGTTTTAGAGAACTACACAGTACTCAATCTGCTTTGTTGAATGTTACCATTGATATTTTACCCACTCTTGACACTATGTGTTTTAATTCTGCTTGATTTAAGTTCAGAATTTGACACAGTAGATCGCAACATTATTTTACAAATACTTGATCAGTTAACTTGGTTTTAGGGACCTGTGCTGAAGTGGTTTGCCTCTTACCTTAAAGAGAGAATATTTTTTGTTACTGTAGGGAAATGTTTCTCATCTTGTGCTCAAATTTCTTAAGGTGTTCCACATGGTTCCTTTTTGCTTTATGATTCCTATAGGTCATAGTATTCACTTATTATATTGTTTCTATGATGATGACACAGCTTAATCTTCATGTTAAAAATAACAGCTGTTCTGTGTCTAATCTATTTGAATGTCTTTGTGACATCAAAAGCTGGCTGGACAATATTTTTTTTTACAGTTAAATAGGGATAAAACTAAAATAATCGTCTTTGGCCCACCAAGGTACTTGCAAGTTTTCGAAGGTACTTGACACATTTCAGTCTGGTTCGTTTTAGAGAACTATACAGTACTGAATCTACTTTGTTGAAGATTGCAAATGATATTTTACCCACTCTTGACTCTTCATGACATTATTGATCAAGTAGCTGGGTTTCAGGGACCTGTGCTGAAGTGGTTTGCCTCTTACCTTAAAGAGAGAAAGTTTTCTGTTAATGTAGGGAAATATTTCTCATCTTGTATATCAAATCTCTTTCCACATGTGTTCCACATGGTTCCATTTTGGATGGACAATAATATTTTACATTTAAATAACGATACAACTGAAATAATCGTCTTTGGCCCACAAAGTTCTCTAACACATATGTTCCCCACTGTTACATGTGGATGATCAGCTTTATGGATAAATATTTTGCTTAAAAACAAATGCGTGTGCTGCATTTATTTATTTGTCAGTGAGACAATAGGATATTTGACGTTTTAGTGTGGACAAGAAACTTTTGGAACACACTATTGTGGATGGAGAGTGTTTCAAATGTATATAGATTAATGTAGGCATAGTGTCCAAATTGGTATCTTCTTTATGTGATAAGATTTAAAACATGAAAAAGTCTTTAAAATAAATGTTCCAATCTTCAGGATACATGATCAGATCCTCTGTTGTACTTATCAGTGGTTATGAGACGTGATTCACAAGCTCCTTATTTCCCTCAACGAATAATTCCCAAAACGAGGAGTGAGAACATGTATAATTAGTATCTTTGTATCCGTATTTGTATCCCAGGAGATTGGGCTGGGATCTAATCATTGACAGGTAGAAACACAAATCAGGTGTGTCCCATTCGGTGAGATAGAGAGGAACCTCCTTTTATTGTCCGTTAATAATACTGGAAAGTAGGCTAGCTTTGGTTGAAAAAGACAATAAGGAAAACTAAGATTTTTAAAAAGCCTAAAACAATCTGAATTTGAATTTTTTTAAACAAGTAAAAATAGAGACTTTAATTGAGTTGAATTGTTTTACCATACTTGACCACTCCTTCAAGCACAGATTGTCACGATTCAAAAGGAGAGGGAGAACTCAAATGCAGTATAAGTGACACATGGCAGGCATGTGACACAGATGGAATGAGACATTTAAAAAAAAAAAAAAAAAAACTGTTGTAAATATATCTTGGTGGGGACTTCCTATTCACTATTAATGTATGTCTATAAAACATTATTCACACACTTTAACGGTATTGAATATTTGATTTGAGATAGCTGACCTAAATATTAGATTTAGGTACCTGACTATTTGTGTGAAATAAACAATACAGCTCTTTTTTTAAAGAATCAGTTATTTATATATATATATATATATATATATATATATATATATTTATATGCCAATGAGAAACAAATAATCATATTTACACAAACATAAGCAAGCTAAGAGTCAGAGAACACCTCTGCAAAAAAACAAACAAACAAAAACATACCATAGAACATGGACATATAACCATAAATTATTGCTTTGTTCACAGGTTATGAACTACAGTTACAGTACTTGACAATATCTAAATCCAAACAGCAACAGTGATAGAACTGACCATCTGTAGCCTTCCTTAAAAAAAGAAGAAAGAACAAGATCATTTTACTGATACGAAACAACAACAGCGTTAAAGTCAGTAAAAAAAAATCAATACATTATGCTGCCAATGACAGGCTTATCTGTAACAACTCAGTACAAATTTGCTTCATGTGTTCATATACTTTGCTTAACTTCTTCCTTTTGTTTTAAAGTTGAACACACACACACAATACTCAAAGAGTCAAAAACATTTCTATATGCTGGTTATCGATAACTCAAAGAGCTTTGCTCACCCATATTTCTCACCCCTGTAGTGACCGATCACCTGAAAAAAAAAAAAAAAACCAACAACAAAAAAACAGGTAGAAACAGGCAGGAGAAAAGGGCTGCATTCAGAGTGAAATACAAACGGGAAAGACTGTCTGCATCTATGGAAAAGTCACAGCATGCAGAGTTACAAAAAAAGTAAAATTCCATTAGATTTTTATCTTTCTTATTTCTTTGTTATTTGCTAAAGGAGTCCTTCGTCATTGAAGGATTTGTTTTTGGGAGCAAGGGAGCAAAGGCAATTTTAGAAAGTCACATGAATATCACAGTTATTTGTTTGCATGATTTCTTTTTTTATGTGATTTACACCACCATGATTCATTTTTTTAAAAAAAGATTGAATTTCATTCAACATTTAACTGGATTTTCTTCATTTTTTGACTGAAATATGACTTTTAATAAGGCTAATTTGACACCATTATAACATGCCTCTCTGCAATCCTCAATCTGAGTGGTCAATCGCTGGATTCTGCTTCACTGACTGTACATTATTACTACAACGCATATCTTAAAATTACATCATTCATTAATTTGTAACAGTTTTGGTATGAATTGAACAGTGAAGATTTATAAACAGGAAAAAATGATGATTTGCGAGACATAAAAGTCATTAGATAGTTCACCCAAAAATAGAAATGATCTCATGATGTTCCAAAGCTGTACTACTTCATGTCTTCAACATAATAGAATATATTTTGAGAAATGTTTTTTTGATCAAACAATAGAAGTCAATGGGCACCAGAAATGTTGGGTTATCAACGTTCTTCAAAATTAAAATTTCTCAGCATGAATGATGACAGAATTGTATTTTTTGGGTGAACTATACCTTTAAGACTTAATCTGTCAATGCAAAATACTCAACAGTTAACATTGATATGACAGTAGTAAAGCATTCATACAGTGGGTCTGGGGCCAAGTCAGTCGTCACATTGATTTTCACCTTGAAACTTGAGCAGTGTAGATTCAGTAAACATATGCAGAGACACCAAACATTATCAGTGCTAAACAATGCAAATGGTTCTAAAAAAGCTTAAGCATAAATGCGGCAAACAAAGATGGGGTGAAACTAAGACCCATAATAACATGTGCTTTTTCTTGCCCGTGAGTGATCGTTGCGCTATACAAGTACAAAATGCCGAACTTCACACCTGACAACTGTTTCTTCACTTTCCAAGGCCATCCCTCTGAAAGACAGCAGTCAGATATGTTCCAAGTCGTTTTAACAGAGTATAAAATACACCAGTTAGCATGCAAAAATGTGCGGTATCAAATACACAGTAAGAATAATAAACATCTAACTTGGTGAAAGAACATGTTTAACACCCTCTCGTCATCACCGCCATGACTGAAACATTCGACTCCTTCGCTCATATGGTTTCCATCGAACAACTTGTCATCCCATCCTAGCATGGTATGAACAGGCATAATTCTGCACATAGGTCACAATCTCAGCGAGCCGCGGCACCGCTGTAGGTGTCCCAACCTTGACCGATATGGAGATAAACGCGACAGCCATCAAGAGAGAAACAGAGAAAGCAGAATGTGTCCGCTTCCTTTTTTAAAGCATTTTTTTTCTTTGATGATCAATCATTGAGACGAACAGTAACAAAGCTTACATGTAACCTATTTCTACGACTGTTAATTACAATTACTGAGCTTGAATGGTACAGGACAAAGACTCTAAATGAGAGAATGGAAAGTGTTATGATTGTGAGAGGGGGTTCGCAAGCTCATCGCCCCCTGTCTGTCCCGTGAGGCAGCGGTGAGACAGTGTGTTCAGTCCACGAGTCCAGTTCAGAACACCACAAGTCACCTGTGCATTGAGCACCCCTCCCAATCCATCCATGTCTTAGTTTAGCTTTTTTTTTGTTATTGAAATAAAGCGTGCCTTTCCCTGGATGAGAGAAAGAGACACAGAGAGAGAGAGAAAAAACGTGTGCTGTGTGCTGAAGGTTTTAGTTGTAGACTTTTGGGGGACCGTCGGGACGTCTGGTCTGGACTATCTTGGCTTTTGGCCGGGCTTCTTCTTCTTCCTCAGCGTCACTCTCACACACGTGGACCACCACACTAGGAGTGGACTCTGTACCCGCATGCAGCTCGTACTTCTCACCTAGAGAGATAGATAAAAGACAATAAGATACAATTTTCCTTGACCTTTTAAAATAAAGTTTGATGTACTAAAATATGTGTACTGCTGAAGTTGTATGAAGTTTCAGTAGTGTCTAGACTCCCTTACCAGCCCAATCACCCCTCCGCCCCCTTTTCCCTGTCTGAGGGTTGGACAATACATCCGGCATGTTTGCATTGTCTTTTGATCTTAATGTTGACCTCAGGCCAACAAGAACAACTTAACCATGTTGAAATACTTTAGCATGGCTTTAATATGAATGAGCTAAATAAAGCCATAGGAACTTCTTAATCAATAAACTGGTCTTTGATATATAATAATAACAACAATAAATCATTTTAACCTCTAGTTCAACATGTCGATTAATAATAACAATAAATAATTTTCACCTCTAGTCAACATGTTGCGCTTCTATCACTACAATAAATTGTATTTTACCTTTAGTTCAACTCTTCTATGACTATATAATTATATTAATAATAATACCTTATCTATAATTATATCTAATAATTATACTAAATTATTTATCATCTAGTTCAACTCTTCCAAGAAAACTATATATTATTATATCTATTATCAGTGTTGTTGTAATTATCAGTAATACTAATTTGAGTAAAATTTGAGGACAAACTTTGAAGTTGGCTTGAGAAAGTTTTAAAAGCTTAAAGTTTGAAGGTTTTACGATTGAAGTAGATTGAAGTGTAGTGTTACACATTTATTAAAATGTTTAATTTAGGTTCCAGTACAATAATATGTAAACTGAGAAAGTCTAGTAAATTGAATTTAGCATTTGAGGTAGCCTATAAATGAGCAAAAGATTCTGCCAGTCCTGGTCTATCTGTTGTACGCTAAATGAATCAGATTACTGAGACTTGTCTTTATACTTGTCTTTAATGGCTCTGCTCAGGTTGAATAGTTTTGCTGCTTTGATTAGGATAGGTAACCCTCTCAGTCTAAGAGCAGGTTTCTAAACCTGTATACATCACTTACATGCTTTGTTTTAGAGTGTCTCCCCCTCGATGTAACTCCTCCCTATTTAAAATGTATAAACTACAGTCTGGATGGAAAGACTACAGCAACACAACAGCTTGTGTTCTCAATAAAAGAATACGACTTAAGATACAACCCGCCTCTCCTGGTCTTCGCTTCTAAGTTTTCAAACACTTTAGAAGAAAAAAGTTCCCAACAGAAATTAAAAGTTTAAAATGTTTTGAAGGCAATACGGTCTATCAGAAAAACATATATATATATATATATATATATATATATATATATATATATACTGTATATATAGATAGATAGATGATTTAGCATGCTGCTACCATGTTTTAATACGTTGCTAACACAAATTAGCATGTTGTTACCATGTTTTAGCAATGTGCTGAAATGTTTGCTCCTGTTCATTTACTTGCACTATGCATTCCAGAAAAAATAAAATAAAATGTTTTTATAGATTTCTGTAGTCTGTAATGAATTCAGTGTAAGGCCAGCCACCTTCTTGCTCGTTTTCCATATCTCTTTGGCTCCACGCACCTGAAGAAAAATGATTTTTTGTAAATTTAGAGAGCAACAATGTAGTACCACCTTCAATTAACATGTTGCTAGCATGAATTAACACTTTCTAGTGTTTTAACAGGTTAATATGAATTAGCATGTTTACTAATATGAATTAGTCTGTTGATAGCATGTTTTAGCTTGTTGCTACCTTGAATTAACATGTTAACATGTAAGCATCAATTAGCATGCTGCTTGCATTATTTTGCATTTTGCAAACATGTTTTAGCGTGAATGTTGCTAGCACAACTTTACGTCTCTAACATGTTGTTAGCACCTAGCACGAATTAGCATGTTGCTAGCATGAGGTCCAACATGATGCTTATCTAATATTATAAATTATTATTATTAATTTTAATTATATTACATTTTTGCCTAAATGTACAATTACAATTCTACATCATAATTATTAACTATTATTCATAGAGCTGTTCTAAAAAGAGCCATTGGCACAGACTTTTACCTCCTTCGTGATTGGATCCTGTTTATGCTAAATAAACATATGCTACAGAGCATGTTTGATCTTGCACACTTGTTACTATAACTCTAATATGAGTTTTGAAGAGTGGAACAGTCCAAGATAGTCATATCATCTCCAATTAAATCCAGATAACTTGGTAACATTAATCCAGGCGTGTTATGTTAGATGGGTTTGCCTTCTTTTCTGCATCAGGCAGATGTTTTGAGGAGCACAAGCCAGAGAAATGTTTTCTCAATAACAAAAGATGTTAGATTTGACAGCCATTAAAAGATTAGAACCCTAAGTAAACAGATACATTTTACATCCCCAAGATTAAAGGATAGAAGCACCACCATTGAGGCCACACTACACACAAACACTGAGAAACAGAATAAGGGTTGCTATAGTAACAAACCAGACCAATAAGAGGTGATAAGAGGTTTGCAATAGCAGGGAGTCAGTGTTGTTATGATATTCACCAGCAGGGGGCGCACACAGCACACATGATGCTGATCATGGTCCATTTCTATTCACTGCTGCCACATTTAACCTCTTACAGTTCCGTTTTTATCTAAACACATTAGCTGTTCACCAACCATTAACACATTACTAATAACCAAAATACTTTATTGTAGTACAGCATACTTTTAATGTATTTTTAATCTTCTATCATTTAATTTTTTTTATTCAACTTCTTTAAACTTTTTGGTCAGGCTTTTTCAAGCCAACATTATCTAGCTGCTAGCCTATTGCCTTTGATCAGGGGTAATTGTCAAGCTTTTACAACTCAAGAGAACCCTAACAAAAAAGTGCTTAATTTTCTAAGTAACACTGCATATTAGGGTCCAATGCTCACTATTAACTACGACTTTTGCCTCAAACTCCTTTTTACTGCTTTTAAATAATAAGGTAATTGTTAAGTTTAGGTGTTGAGTAGGATTAAGGGATGCAGAATAAGGCATTAATATGCGCTTTATAAGTACTAATAAACAGCCAATATCCAGTAATATGCATACTAATAAGCAACTAGTTAATAGTGAGATTTATACCCTAAACTAAAGTGTTACCAATTTTTCATGAACAAATTTAGAAACATTACAATGCTTACCTACAATATCACTCAAAGGTGTTTAATACTTTTATTCGGGGTGCATTAAATTGATCAAAAGTCACAGTAAAGGCTTTTACAGTATTAATTTTATTTATATATGCTAAGATAGCTGTAAATTGTAGTAATATGTCACTACTGTTTAACCATAAGAAACATCTTTCAAAAACATTTACAAATTCTTATCGACCCCAAATTTCACAAAACAAGCACAAGAGCACTTTTCAGGCACAAAAAGAAGTTTGGAACATATTAAATTACAGATATAATGTTCATACATTTGATTTATAACAAATATGTTTAGCTCCAAATGCTTTTTGGAATCAACTTATCTATCTGCAGAAGTTTGTAAGTGTGTTTATCCACTGTTGGAGTGAAAATTAGTGCTTAAACCCATGCATGTGTAGGAGCATATGGCATATACTTGTATGATGATTGTATGTGTGTGTATACCTGGTCCCAATTTGGCCACAGCACACAGCAGGTCGTAGTTGATCACAGGCGTGGCATCGCCACTCTGGCTCCATCCCACAGGTGGAGATGCAGGTGGAGAGATGAGGAACTGCTTGACAGGTTGAGGCGGGGCAAGGTATGCCTTGTCCACATCTTCCCCTGAATTCTGCACCTGTGGCCAGATAGAAAAAAAGATGGGGTGACCCAGCTAACAGGGAACTTTCTCAGAACTTTGGCTAACGTTCTGACAAGGCTCTTTCAAGTTATGAAGAAATGTTGGTAACACTTTACAATAAGGTTCATTAGTTAACACTAATGTATTAACTAACATGAACTAACATTGAGCAATACATTTGTTGCTGTATTTGTTCATCGTTTTTAATGTTAGTTAATAAAAATACAGCTGTTTGTTCATGTTAGCTCACAGTGCATTAACTAATGTTAACAAGATTTTAATAAAGTATTAGTAAATGTTGAAATTAACATTAACAAAGATTAATAAATACTGTACAAGTGCAGTTCATTAATAGCTCTAGTTAATAATGTTAACTAACGAACCTTATAGTAAAGTGTTGCCAAAATGTTAATAGAATGTAACTTTTGTTGTGTAAAATGAATCGTTCCATTAACGTTAATGGAATGTCCATTCAAAGTTATCTTGTCTTTCATATTATTCATACAACTTCAGCACGAAAACGTTATGTATACATTGTTCAAGGATTTTTTTAATGAAACGTTTAAGTTTGTCTAATGTTTTAAAAAAAATCATATATTATACTTGTTTCAGAACATTCAAAAGTAACATTCCCATGTTTGTAGATTTATAAAATTGAATCTTTCCCTAATATAACCAAAATATATCATTTTTTGTAATATATCAACATTTTTTAAAAAAAACAGGACGCTTTGAATGGTCCAAGAACATTCAGAAATAACTTTTTCATAACTTAATGTGAACGTTCTCAAAACGTTCTTAGAACATATTTTTGTGAGCTGGAAAAGCACAAAACAAGACTAATCAACAAGAATAAACTACTCGGCACTCATTTTAAATTAAATATATCCTCTAAGCTTAAATTATTATTAATAATTATTAATAAAGCAGAGTTCAGGCCCAGATTGTATTGATTTGAACTTTTGAAGGAATATTCTCACCATCTCTCAAAAGGGAAACAGGCTTTTCTATTACTGTTCAAAGACACACAATGTCCTGGATCATCTCCGCACTCCCACACAGCAGCACACAAATTCACAGCACCATTGTGAGGAGTGTGTCCATTCTTTATGTGTTCAGACTAAAACACAGAGCACATTTACTACATAATGATTCTAGGAATATAATTGTGTCTGTCTATTTCAGATAAATGGCAATAATGATTAGTATTACATGGATGTTGCCACAGTGTGCGTGTTACTGTGCTGAGAACTGAGTGTTCTTTAACTATCCCCTGCTGACAGACCTCTAAGAGAGGAGAAAAGAAAATCTAAACTCCTGTTCTTTCCTCTGGTTAATATTACACTGAGAGTTCAGAGATCTCAGCTCATGTTGCCTTCTATTATTCTTCTATAATTGTCAAAAATAATGTGTTAAATGAATTGAACGTCTTATGCAAATTGCTTGATTCATAATGTGTAGCTACAACCTGTGTGATTACAAATTAATCTTGTGTGATTAACTAATTCGAGGCGAAGGAACATGGTATGTTTATCTGCTAGTCTTTTTTCTTTTTGTTTGATTTGTTTTTATCTTCACTTTGTTTTGTAAAAGACGTTTTCGTTTGTTCACTTGTGTTTTTGGATGTGAAAGTTCGTATCTATGGCACGAATGTCATTTCTCGTGGCATTTATACGGCAAAAACAGTTTTTGCGTGTATATGGCACGCGATTTTCGCGTACATATGATACGCACTTTTTTGCGGATAATACGCACGAACTCCCCACCCCCCTCCCCCCTAAACCTAACCCAGGGTTTTTTAGTGCGTATCCTATACACGAAAAAAACACTTTGGGATAAATGCCACGAGAAATGACACTCGTGGTATAGATGCGCATCTTCATGAGACTGTGTTGGAAATTGAAAGGTGCTCGAAAAAAAAAAAGATACCAAAAAGTCCACTTTTGTTTTCAACAGAAAAACATGTGGGTTATTACAACATACAGCTCCAGGTTTCAGGTGTAAAATGAAAAATTAAAATATGAAAAATGAAGAAATTAATGTGAATGAATAAAGACTTGCACAATCGTTCAAAAGTTCTGGGTCAGTAAGTGTGTTTTATTTTTAAAGATTTTTTTAAGGATGCATTAAATTGCATTTAATAGCAGTAAAGGCATTTATACTGTTACAAAAATGTTTATTTCAAATAAGCATTTTCTTTAACTCTCTATTCATCAAAGAATCCTGAAAAAAAACTATCAAGGCTGCCACAAAAAAATATTAATAAAAAATTATAATAATAATAAATGTTCTGTCATGACAACTCTGAGAGTTTGGCATTGTAATGAGTATGATAACAATGCTAATGTGTCTATGCTACACTGCCGCTGCTGTTGGTTATCACTGCTATGCCAATACATGATATGCTACTATGAGCAAGGAAGACATGCTGCTGCTGTACAAGCATACATGAAACACCCCCGTAGCAGATCTACCATATAAAGGTGGAGCTGGGGTTTCTGAAACCACGCTGCAAACTGCTACAGCAAACAATAGGCAAGAATTTGAATGTTGAGCAGCAAGCTCATTGGCTACCAATACAGCGGGAAGTGCAGGAACCGATCAGCTGTGTCTAATAAGCCCCTTTTACACAGAGATTCCGGAAAATACACGGATAATGTGACCCGGGATTGTTTGATTTCGGTTCATTCACACTGCCAGTGATTTGCTGGGATCTGTGAGTGCGTTGACAGACAACCCGTAAAGATCCTGGAAAGACGCATGACGTCAGGATGAGACGTGTAACATATGCGTCGAAAACATGTATACGTGCATACCGTTCGACAAAGCTGGTGAACGATCTCAGCTTCAGCGCGGATAGTAAGGAGCTCCTGGTCTCTGCTTCATTCCAGTTTGCAGACATTTGTTCGTCCTTTCTTTGTTGATGACGAGCACAAAATTTCAGAGCAACAGAGTCGCGCGATGGCACGAGCGTCATCACTATGACACACCGCTTACGGCATTGGTCCTGGCTTTTGTTCACACAGTGCGTGTTCCGGGACTGATTCCGGCAATGTTACTAGGCCCCCAACCCGGCATCGATGGCGGTATCAATCAGCGTTCTGGCAATTTCCCGGGAACAACACGCTGTGTGAAAGGGGCTCTAGACAATGCTTTCCTTTCAAGCAGACTGGGTAAGGACTTGTGAGCCTGACCTGCGCCATCTACAATTTCGTGACAGAACTTTGTATTTTTTTAGAAGGATTTCAGAAGGATCAATTGACACTGAAGACTGGAGTAATGATGTTGTTTTTTAATATATATTACAATAAAATTAAAATTGAAAACATTTAATTTAAATTGTAATAATACTTCACAATATTACTGTTTTGCAGTATTTTTGATCAAATAAAAAAAAAATCTTACTGACCCCAAACTTTTTAATATTTTGGATAGTTTGAAATTGTAGCATGCAGATTTGGAACAACATGGTGGTGAATAATGGTAAAATAATATTAAATTCATTAATATTCAATACATTAACGCACTGACCTGTGCCAAGTACAGTTTTAGTTTAACGCCGTTGAAGTCTGATTCGTGGAGTTCGATGCGTGCGCGTGCAGCAGCCTCTGGAGTGGTGAAGCTGATCCGAACTCTTCTGAAACTCTTGAACATCTGGAAGGACGTCTGATCATCATAGATCCTGAACAGAGCCTCAAACCGCTCCTGAGGAGAATTAAGAAAAAAATAAATTCATAATTGCTTGAGGTTTGCATTAAATAACTTTGCAGTAATTAGTTTGCAGTAACATAATTGCAGTGTGCAATATCAATTGTGTCAATAAAACTAGTGTCATGCTTTCCTGGTGGCCTAAAAGCATGGGACAGGACCCAGCATTGCTGATTAGAACAGTTTCAAATAGAAGGAGGTGTGTAAAATGTGTGACCTTCACTGTGCTGATGGAGCAAGTAAAGAGAGAATGGGGACAAGATGAAAATTAAGTTATAAAATAGGATAGACCTTATACCACATCCATATGCACTATACCAAAGCCCCATGATTAAGCCAATTACATATTGTTGAACAGTGCACGTAAATGTTATATGATATGAATTAATGTCTGGAGCCCCTGCAGCAAAGTGAAAAAAAACAACATTAAATTTGATTCCACAAAACATTCATAATACAACTAAATAAACAGCCGCAAAACGGTTTGAGTTACATCATGTATATATTTTTTACTCTCTTCCGTTACGTTCTAAGAATAAAACGTATTAAACTTGTTCAAACTAATCTGAAACTCGCATAGCAATAACTTTAATTTCCTGAATGCAAAATGTTTGTTTGCATTGCATATCGGCGTTTCTGTTCCCACTTCCCACACAAAGCAAGAGTTTGTTTTGAACTCAGACACTGTGTAGCAAGAAGAGATGTGTCAATCACTAATTCATGCGCGGCGTCGAGCATTTCCTGCAAGTGGTGTAGACTTACACACTACCTGGGGGAAAGGAGTGGACATCCGCCTTCATGACACGGCAGTTCTTTGTGTGTGTAAGGGAGAGCGTGTGTGGCATGTAAAATAAACTGCATGTTTACTCTGCTGAAAACACCATGAATTTACAAGTTGGTTGGAGCTGGTATTGCCATACTGAGGATCACAGATGTTTTTATGGTTAAAAGTTGATGATGATATCTAAAGCACGAAGGCTTGTATATAACAAAATATAACAAATAAAGGAGGCATAACTACTTATTACAATAGTTCATGTTTTTCACAGTCAGTAATTCATACTGTAACATTTGTTTGTGCGTTATGTTAAGTTGCTGTTTGTTTGAAATAACAAACCAGTTCAGTCAAGGAACACTCGACAAAGTGCTATTAGAAGACATCCTGTCATAGCTTATCGAATGCAAAATACATTTTCACCGCTAGATGGGAGAAATTCCTACACATTGTCCCTTTAAATATATATATATATATATATATATATGAGTGTAACTGTTTGTGTCTGTATCTGATTGTATCTAGTATGACTATTTACATATTATCCTATTGAGGCCTAGCACCTAAAGGAGACAGCTGAGGTCTTCCCTCACAATTTGTTGTAGGTTGACACTACAGTGAAACTTCCAAGATCACATCCAGTAAACATAAGCTTGTTATTTACCCTGATGCCAACATTTCACGGGAAGGAAAAGGAGCATCACAAGTGTTCAGGACACTGTGTAATGTAAGGCCCATGTAACAATGTTATGTAACAGTGTTTGTGTTGGCTCACTTCTCACCTGTCAATCACATGTATTTTACACACCTTTTACCTAACTGGAAAGCATAAACAGGTGGTGACACATGAGATCACTGTGGTCAGTCTTGATGGAGGGCACAGAGAAACATTTACCACTATACTGATGAAACCTGTAGCTTAGCAGAAACTCACACCTAAACAGTATGATCAGAAAACGTAAGAGTTGTATACTAAAAAAGGTAAATCTTTAGAAATTTTCACTCATAATTGTTTTTTTACCAATAAATTTAAAATCCATCTCAAAAGAGACATTTATTTGTATGGCTTTTTTATGCAGCCAGTGAAAATAACATAAAACTTTCTATTAATTCACAGTAACCTGAAGTCAATTTTTATCAATTCACAGAAAGGGACATAAAGAACTTATAGACAAGTTTTATAGGGACATAAAGACATTTTTTAGATCTTTCTGTTCCAGTGTGGAAAACATGTCTGATAGTGAGGTTAAGCATTAAAATCCTTCAGTCGAGCATTAGTCCTGAATAGCCTGGAATTGACACTCTAAATAGATAAAATAAAATATGCCAGACAACCTCACACACACACACACACACACACACACACACACACACACACACATATATATAACATATAACATATTTGTTTGCTCTGTGATTTTCATATCAGAAGAAGCATTATTTCAACCAAACAACCACTGAAGCAAAGTAGTGGATTCAAAAAGTATTGAAAGAAAACCCCTTTAAAATAAGGTTTTCCACACTGTTTTTCCTCAAATGAACAGGAATGAAATTTTATATTTTTTCAAATACGTTTGCCTATGCACCAATAGTACACAACGATAAACAAGAGCAATATTTACCATGTATTTTTAAAGAAACATTTCAATACAATACCACACAAGTTAAGAGACTATACATCCGCAATGCAGAATTATAGTGAATATATCATGAATATTCGATCACTAGCCTTACACTGCAGTCTGCACTGCTCAATCTTGTCCTCACACTACATCCTCTTCAGAAAGTGACTTAAGAACAAGCTCCACACATGGACTCGTTACCCGAAAAGCCATTAGAAAATGAATATGTCCCAAATCTGGGGCATATGGTGCACTGGGACACTGACATGATTTTGGGTTGAGAACAGAAGCATAAATAATTAAGACGATGAATCCGTTAAATGAGTGGGAGATGTTTTTAATTACCCCGCTGATGTTACACAACCCTGAAAAGCTGCCAATCCAATAGCCCTTGGGTAATACATGCGAGCAGGATTCGAAGAAACACTGTATTACAACTATATTTAAATATAGACGAAAACACAATAACTAATCTTGACAAACAAGACATTTTATTACATGCACGCATCTGGTTTCCCATAAGTAATTTTCTCATTGTTTGCCTATCAGTGAATAATAAGTGAACTTTCGCTGCCGTAAATCAAGACTTTGTTCAAAACAGAGCCTGGAAACAGTATGACCAACCCCGAAAACAAAATGTAAATGTTATCATAATGTCACACAGGGGTCATTAAGCCAAGCAGCCGTTCTGTCTGCAAAGTGCCAATTTACGAGGCACAAGCCACTTTTGCACAAAAGAAGCTGATCCCTGAACTTCTGAGAAAGGAAATCTCTGTAAGAGGCAGGAGCGATTCATCACATGTGCTGTAAATGCAGAGGGCACTGTGTTTTCCTTCACTCTTATCAGAACAGAGTTAAACAACAACAAAAGCTGTCACCCTGATTGGCTCTGGTGGAATTGGTGCCATCACTCAGGTCTGTTGTGGTTTTTATACTAGAATCAATGGTAGCGAACAAATCCAATTGACAGGCCTAGTGACAATGCCCCAGGGGATTTTCCAGAGCTCAGAGATGGGCAGTGATATTCATCCCAGAATTCCATGAAGTTATGGGAATTTCTGAGATCTGAAAAACACTGAACAGAGAGATAAACCTATACTTGTTTTTAACAGGCCTAATGAATATAAAACCAACTTAGATTATTTTTTAACAAAATAATGTTTTATGACAATTTCATAATCAAAAAAAAAATCGGTTTTAGGATTATTTAGTAATATATAAATATGAAATATATGAAAATATAATATATAAATATTATATACAGTACATGATTGTTTATAAGTGTTGTTTAGTTCAGGACTACACACTAACACACACACACATATATAATTGAGTGTGTGTGTGTATTTTTGATCAATTATAATATAATGTATATTTATTTATTTGGTTTAAAATACAGCTGTAATAAGACAAAATGATAATATCACTGGCTTTTCAACAAATAAAATCACTCATAAAATATAGTAATATTGTGAAATATTATTACAATTTAAAGTAACTGTTTTCTATTAGAATATATTTAAAAAATAAAATGTAAATTATTCTGGTGATGCAAAGCTATATTTATGACCCAAGTTTCAGCTACACTATGTGCCACCCAGAATGAAGCTTTAATTCTCTGACAACAAAGTTATATAATTCACCGCAGTTGTTCCCACAAAGGGACCGAGAATCTAGGAAGGTTGTTTGAAGTGCTGGGACTAGAATGTGCAGGCTGTGTCAACTGGTAACCTGACCCACAGGAAAAAGGACACAAGTGGGTGGCCAGCAGCCTTTTGTCTAACGTCATCATACCTACGAATGCCTTTAACCTTTCAGAGTGACATCTGAGCTCTACCTATGCTCTTGGGTTACAGATGTATCTAACCTCCCTCCTCCATCCATCCTGCTGTTTCATCCATCTATCAGTCCATTTAAGATGAGTGAAGAGAGAGAGAGAGAGAGAAAGAGTGAGAGAGACACACACACACTTCTAACTTGGCTGTTTGCAGGGCTATCTCAGGCTGCAGGCTTTAGCCTCCCCGCCTGCCAAAAAGCTCAGATCCTGTTACTCACCTGAGTATACCTGATCCAGGAATGCTTCTGTCCTATGCTACCTTCAGTTTTACCTGTCTCTCACTTAGCTATCATGCTGTTTGTTGCAGCATCTACTCTAGACTGAGATACTCGACGGGTCAATTAATCAGCATTTCTTAACTAATTGGAGAACACTATAGCATATGATTTTAGTTTGTGCATGTTTTAAAATGAATTTTGAGCAAATATTGTGAATAAATGGGTTTAATTTTTTCCTACCCCTTGAATAAATACATCTGGGTGTATGCACTGTGATTTACAGTATAAATAAAGGTCAAAACGGCACAGTATGTATGTATGAATAATGTAGTTTAATATATTTTAAAAAAATAAATGAATGAGGCTAAATAAAATGAGCTTCTCTTGTGACACACATTTATTAAACCCCGGCCTGCTCTCTAGATATCAGACAGATATCTCTAGATGTTTACTCATCTGTTGCTTGATTGGAGCAATTATTACAGCTAAAATAACTTTTACATTGAACTTTCGCCGAAAAAGGCTCATCTGCTGAAAGACTGACCTCTGTTAGCTATTACTTGGGTTTTAACAGCATGCTTACTGCAAGAAAAGTGTAGAACTGTCATATCAGAACTCTTCATTTCCATTGTTACTTCACTTCTGCTTGGGACCATACCCAACTCACTGACCGTCATACAAAACCATCCAATCACATACAGATCAGCTGAAATGTAGTAAAAAAAAAAAGAAAAAAGAAGAGCATTGAATGGTGGATAGATCTGACAGCTGCTTTGCACACTGACCCTAATAATCATGCCTGATGGACATTCACTACTGTTTATGGAAATTAGTGTGAAGTCAAATACAAACACACATGCGTTAATCATCTCAGCAAACATGCCATCAATGTTTTAACTATTTAGGGGTATGTATGTGTGTGCTTATGCGTGAATGTCGAAAGTCCTGCCCATAACCTTCAGAATGAATGTGCTGATGTCTGAATATTTTCCATAGCACATCATTTTCCATTGAACACGCACGAACACTGTACGCCACACCTGTTCCAGTGAGCAAGCTCAGATCCCAGTTGCTCCACTAACTAGTCTGACAAATGTTGATGAAAGGAGTTAACAGACTCTAACAGATTCAGAATCAAACATTACATGTATCCAATTTTTCATTACTTAATGCTAATGAAACAAGCTAAATCTTTACTGGTTATGAGCTGTCGTGTGTGAGTGCCTATACTTAACTATATTTTGGGGATAAATTTGTACCCGGAAGTGCCCAAAACCTGACAAAATCTCCAAAAACCTCCCTTTAGGGACGTCCTTATTTGTAAATCTGGTATAAAAATAAAGTAATTAAAGTTTTTCTGTGTGTAAAAATGCAAAATGTTTTGTGTGATGGGTTAGGTGAGGGGACAGAATATAGTTTGCACAGTCTAAAAACCATTACATTTACGGAATGTCCCCATTTACTTGTCACCAAGTAAACGTGTGTACCTATTTGTGTGTGACTGGAATAATGGCTTTTTTTTATCCTGCCATCCAATGAGAAAATCAGAGCAGAGAGTAAATGAATAAACCTTAAGCGGAGGATAAAAAACAAAAAGGTTTAAAAAAAACTAAAACAAAAAAACAAGCTGTTGTGCAGAGATCAGTGTAATCAGTGACCGCAAAGAATGTGCAGTATCTTGCAGCATAGATTAGACTGTGTCCTCAAACCGGGCCAATAACCCAGATTAGAACCAATATGCACACATACTGACACACACATTTTTAGACACTCATTTCATAAATCTTAAGTTGTCTTTCTTTATCTCCTGTCGTACCTCGCTTGGGGCAGGACACTGCAGGCAAAGCAGAGCAACTGCAGACTGACTCCCTGCCCCTCTATCTGCAGTTTATGGCACTGAAACACTGACCAAGCATGGAAAACACATAAACTACATTGACACTTTGTCACCACATTCTTACTGTGACTTTTACATGTTTTTCATGAGAGGCAACTGTTTAAGTGTGTAATATAAAAACATAGGCTATTTTCCATTTGGCATTTACAAGAAAATCTTAAATGTGAAATCATTGCACACTGCAGAAAACTGCACTGGCTCATGCTGGAATGCGTGAAAAGTGTGCCTGGGTGTCCTACTTCTGGATAAATTCCAAATGAGGAATTCTAACAAGTCCTCAATACCATCCTTATTTCATTTCAAATAAAGTGCCGTTATCAATTACTAGGTAAACTAAGCTTTAATAGTGATTATCGCAGTCTGATGGGTATGCGTGCACTGTGCAGTCCTATACCTGACATACAGCATTCTAAAAGACATTGGCTGAGTGAATATAGGCTGTGTGCATCTGCAGAACTCAGTACAACTATATGAATCAATTCAGCTTTCTTCAAGGTATTGTGCACACAGAGAAAAAAAATGAAAATGACATTTTGGGCATGCAATAAAAGTTAATGTTGACTGAGGCACTTACTCCACAGAAGAAAGAAATAGTCATACAGGATTTGAAACAACATTAAGAGGAGTAAAGGATTACATAATTGTCATTTATGGGTGAACTATTCCTTTAATCATGTAATTTAAGAGTGCACACCGGCTGCTTCATCCTACAAACGGGTGGCGCAGCCCGTCTGGAGCAGCTCTGCATCGAGGTCGTTCAGAGCATTGACGCCATCGGTGCGCATGCAGCAGAATGTTAATGTGAACTGCGGATTCATTGAGAAAAATTCCAGCGATGAAAAACAATGAACTGGCGGCGTGCAACGTCACACAGACCGCGAGAATGCAGTGAAAACGCTCCTCTCGTAATTACAGACACAGAATGATCATAAACACAGCGTGCATTTATTTTCTTCTTTTTAATTTCTTTATAGATAAACTTGCAGTACCTGCATTTTGTCGGATGTAAACACCTCCGTGTCTACATCACAGGCGATGAGCGTCAACATCTCCAATTTCATGTTTATCGATGGCATTCCCTCTTTTGCGGCTTGTAAACAGATAAATAAAAAATGAGTCTTTTATTCCCTTTTCTCTCTCTTGCTCTCTTTTCCTGTTGTATGTACGGCTCTCTGAGGCTTAAAGTATTTTGTGTGTGTTGGTGAGGTACTGACTCAAACTCATCGGCTGTCTGACTGAGATGCTGCTCTGCGAGCGCATGAAGGCTGCTCAGGTTCATCCACACTGACCAATCAGAGCGCTCGGCCGCCACATTGACGTCATCGCCTTATTCATTTGATTCTCTATCTATTCTGATCGATTCTGATGTGCTCGCCGCACGCGCTCCTTAGAAGCGAACGCAGAACAGGACGCCGCACAACGGTTCGGTTTTGCCAACAAACAACGCCGTCATTGTTGTCCTGCTACTTTGATTTAGGCCTACTGACAGTACGGAAATTAGTTCCAGTTGACAACTCTAAGTTGTAGTAGGCTATAGCTACAGGGCAAGACACCTTATAAATTCCTTCTAATCACCTCAGACACTGCCATAGGACCACAAAGACCTATATAAATCAATAACAGGATGTAGGCAAAAGGCAAGTGACACGGTCTAATATATGGCCAGAAATCCCCTAATTAATGTCCAAAACAAAAGGATTTGTCTTGAAAAATTCTAATGAAATATCATTATAGGCCCGCCTAATAGTCTACCCAGCATAAATTAGTAGGCTATACCCCCTCTGAACACTCTGAAGAGATTTTTCTATTTCTTCCCTTACACTTAAAAAAAAAAAAAAAAAAAAAATGAATGGCTATTGATAAAACAGAGAAAAATGATATCTGTATAATATCTGTAAAATCGGTAAATTAGCCAATTTTGCCTAAATGAAGGGTTGCAGAAATGACACATTTGATTTAATAAAACAAACAAACAAACAAACATATAGTACATGTCCTCCATAACCCTGACCCTGAGTGGCATAGATTGATGAGTGTACAAATTTACAACAATTTTTTTACATTATCTATTGTTTAACTCATGGATGAGGACCCTGAGTGCTCTTGATTTGTCTTAAGTGTCCAAGAACACGGGAATAAGCAGAAGGGAGCATCCTCTGTTTCAAGATTTTTTATTACATCACTCTGTGGTGTGAATTGACTTCTTTTGCTATAGGAACGTTCCTCCCACCGATAACTAAAAAATCTATTTAGTTAAAATTAACCTTGGAAAAGGCCACCTTTCTTTCGCTTCAAGGTGTTCCTGTGTGTACAACAACAATGTATTTCACTTCTGCACATTGTGTCTTACTATGTGAGATGAAACAGTGACTCTTCACACAACTTTTTCCAGATCTAAGACAGTTGCATGGCTTTACTGTTCTTTTCTTAGCAAAAAACAAAACAAAACAACTGTGCCATTGATCAACAAAAACCTGGTATAAAGTCAATGGCAACATATATATATATTTTTGTTCTTTAAAGGGTACATTAGTAATATGCACATATAGGGTGCGCCCTCAGTGCACTGAGCATCATTAGTGATTTTTAGAAGCACTCTTAGTGATTTAATTCTAAACCATGCAGGCCTGATATGGACAAGACATACAACTGAAGTAAATGGGAACTGAAATAAATTGGTTATCAACTTTCTTCAAAACATCTTTGGTGTTCAGCAGAAGAAAGTCAGTCATACATATTTGGAATAACACGAGGGTGAGTAAATGACAAAATTTTCATTTTTTTAATAAATTATATTAGATTATAACTTTAACAGATAATGTCCTGGCAGAAAACTCTCTAATCCCAGCGAAGGAAGATTCTAGAAATAGACGGTGCTTAGAAGTGTCAGTCTCAGCACAAACATAGACACACATGCACACAGCATTGCAGAGACACTGCACCATCATGACTTACAAATGTGTATGTGTAAAGACTGCCAGTCTACCTCGCTCATGTGTTGCAGTACCAGCCCCTGGCACCACTGCATCTATAACAAACTAGGGCAAGCTATTTATATCACAGAGAGGAGAATGAGAGAGAGAGAGAGAGAGAGAGAGAGATTTAGAGTAAGAGGAGAGAGAGAGTTCAGGTGCAGGAGAGTGCAGGAGGAGTAGAAGGTGATGCAGCAGATATGAGATGCAGGAGAGTCAGAGATTAAAAAAATAGAAAAACAACAGCAAGTCAGATAGGCTGAGATAGAATATAATATAAAAAAAGACATGTGAAAAATAAAAAAGGCATAAATAACATATTTCCAGTACACTGAGAGGAATAGTGTTGTGTTTCAATCAATCAGGTTAGATCTATTGCAGTTGTTTTTCAATGTTTTTCCCACAAAATGTCACCATGTAAATGAGCCATATCCTAACCTGAATAACAATAGCACAATATTCTCAAATCTTTTTAATCAACGGGTCAGCAGCAGGACCACGACTGCTCACTACAGCAGTAAAATGAGCAATGCTGTATCTATTTATGAACCTTATTATACAATAAATAATGTGCAGATGTGTCATCTATGAAATTGGCTTTGCTTCGGGACCCAGATTTTACATTGGATATCAAGTGGTGACCCAGCAAGACTGTTCACTGTAAATTTTCATAAAATGTTGTTAAAATCCATTGTGAAGTGCAAAGGCCCATCAATATTTAAAACTATGATATAAGAAGAACAAGAAAAACTGGAAACATGGCAAAAGCAGACACGTTGTCGACACAATTTCTGACACATGGCACCTGTCCTCATAATCATAATGGACAAAATACGATTAGCAATACTCTATTAAGAATGAGAAGATTACTTATTTTTCAATCCTAAATATGCTTGTAATTTGCATTAAGTGACCTTTTTGTCTCTGCAAATTTATCAACAAAAGATTTTTCTTATCATATCATCATATAGTAGTGGCCAAAAGTGATGTCCGGTAGGGAATATTAATTTGTTTTTAAATTACACTAAACATGGTTAAGGTATTCATCTGACAAAATTATTTTGGCAAAAAAGCAATCTACAGCTATAGGTTTTATTTTCCAATGCAAAATAAAAATGCATAGAAAAACAAAAAGCAAAGAACAAAGAATCTAAAAAAAAAAAAAAAAAAAGAATCCAAAAAAAGTATCATGGTTTCCAGCAGCACTGTTTTCAACATTAATAATAATAATTAGATTGGTTTCTTGAGCGACATATCAGAATGATTTCTGAAAGATCATGTGACACTAAAGACTAAACTAGCTGCTGAAAATTCAGCTTTTCCATTACAGGAATAAATACAAATTTAAATTAAATATTTAAATTATAATAATATTTCACAATGTTATGTTTGATCAAATAAATGCAGCCTTGGTGAGCGATGAGCATAGGCCTACTTCTTTCAAAAACCCTTAAAAAATCTTGCAATCCCCAAACTTTGAATAGACCCATTTCCACCTGCAGGGCCTATTAAAATGAGATCTATCCAGATAAGTTATCCGGATAATAAGTGTTCAGACCTGTGCGTTTACACCTTGTATTTTTAATGCGTTCTCGACGTTATCCACATTGAGATCGGATCTTGACCTGCGCATGAGCACTGAGGTGGCGGGAAATCAGCTGTAGTTTGTCAACATGGCAGGTGTAGGATTGTTAGAGATGCTACCGCCTGTTTGTACTTTTTCTCTGTCGCGGTAGGGGTTATTTTCAACGTTTTTCTATTAGGAGCAAACAGAAAAGACGACAGACCCTGTTTGCAGCTGTTGTTTTTGCGGCTACTGTGAATGCTACGACAGTGAACCGATGTCTGTGGATGAGAGAACGGAGTAATGAGTGGTGGGAACGTATTGTCTTGGGGTCTTGTGGCAAAGATGACTGGATGGCAAACTTCAGAATGAACCGACATTTGTTAGACAACATCTGCAAGAAGTTGCGGCCTCTGCTGTCACGGAGAAATACTCTGCTGCGGTCGTCGGTGTCTGTGGAAAAGAGAGTAGGCCATAGCAGCTACGAATGGAGGTAAGAATGCCATTTTTTTCTGGTTCTGATGCCAAAGGTGGTTCCTGTGGTACCTCATCCACTGGGATGTCAGGTGTCAAATTTAAAGACGGGGTTCATGTTCAGTATATATTTATGGTGGTCCTCAATTTCTCTCTCTGCCTCCAATTTGCCCTCATCTATTAAACGCCTTTTTTCCTTGATCCTTTTGGCCAAGTTCATCAATTGACAGGTGTTCTTTTTTGCCACTAAGTTTTCTTCTTTGGCAACTAAAAACAAAAAGAAAAATATACCACTACTACTACTACTACTACTAATTATAATAATAATACTAATAATATAATATTGGCAGATGTTCCTATTAATCACTCAGTTTTCATTTATCAATTAATTATCAATTAAACAATATAAATTATAAAAACAAATGATACTTTTCTCTTCTTTTGACAAGAATCTCTTTTTTTAACAGCATTAGCTTTTATCCTTTCCCAGTAGCATGCTCCTTTTTCCTTATTTGAGAAAGGCATGTCACATCAAAATTATGTAATAATATACTCTGCACATTTCCTATTAATAAAATGTTGTATTTATTTATTTATTCCGGATATGTACAAATATCTACATACATTGTTGTCATTCGGTACAACCAAATTATCGATATTATCGAATGACACTTTTGGCTATACCAAATGACAATATTTTCAAACAATGCTAACAGGATATTAGCTAGCTAGCAAATTAGATGGATAGCTAGCTAGTAAAAAGACAATCAGACATTTTATATTTAGTTTTTAAAATAGTACAACATTTTCCATGTTTTATAGCGGTTGTACCGAATGACCTGATATTTCAGGACATGTATATAAGCAATTGAAAACATGAATTATTCAAATAGTTAAGAATGAGTTACTTTGCTTCACGACCGTGTGGTCCTTTGCAGGTGTCTGAACAATGTCACATCCTGTCACATGATATTGACCGCATGACTTTTTCCAAAATGGTGCCTTTATAGTGGTTACTCCATCAGTGAAATTCATTTTTACGGACATTCTTTCTCATAACAAAGCAGTGACTTCTACACATAATTTTGCACTAAGTTGAAATATAATGTTATAACATCATGCCAGGATAAAAAAATATATACATTTATTACATTTTAAGACATTTTAATCACAAATTAAATGGCTGTATGATGAATGATCTTTTGACACTTCAAAATCTTTAAAATATCTTTATATGTTGTAAAATATAATTAAAACTTTTTGGATTCAATGAAAGAGATCAAGTTGTACTACCTTACATACTTTGGATGTCATATCTTTGTTTTTTATTATTATTAAGGCCTTTGGACAAAAACATCACACATCACGTCACTGACCCTATATAATTTATATAATTTTTCTATATATATATAGCATTGGTATATACCCCAGGATGATGTTGTATAACTACTGTATATTATCCTTTACATATTACACATTTTACTTTATAAAGGGACTATTTATAGACTCTAATTTAAGTATAGCCTACATGGCTCAGATCCACTGTTATGACTCCCATCTGAAGAGGCTGCTGGGGCAGGCAGAGAGGACTTTTTGACCCTGAAACAGCCCAGTGAACAGTGAGGGGAGGGGGGGTCGCGAGTCCATTCGAGGCACGTGCCACCAAAGCAGGTCAACAGTCTTAATGAAACAACAGGCCAGGCTGCCAGACACAACCAAAGACTTATGAAGTGTGTGCTTGTGTGTGCGTGTGTGTGTGGGAAGAGGGGGTGGGTGTCAGTGAGAGCTCTAGTTTCTAAAACAAAAATAAAGGCCAGCTGTTTACCCATAAAGATGCTCCCATCTCTACTGAAGGACACAAATCACACACAAGAGCAGAAAATAAAGAGCATTTCTGGGTTTTTCAGATAAAGTGAGAGTCCTCAATAAATTTCCCCCCTGGGGATTAATAAAGTAAATCAAATCAAAATCAAGAGTGTAAGGTTTTGACAGGAGAAAATTGTGATTTAGAATAGGCGTCTCATGATTAATGTTACAAAGTAATTGTCCATGGTAAAATGGTAAATGAACTGCATTTATATAGCGCTTTCACAGACCCAATGGTCACCAAAGTGCCTCACATTCATCCATTCACTCACTCATTCATACACTGAAAACCATCCAAATACCATTTTGCTGTCACTTGCAGTCACAGCAGTACATTCACGGCTGCTGCTCAATAACGGCGTTCTTTAGTACAAGATCATACAATCACACAATCTACAGGGCAGTACACAAAGTCACAGAGTGAGATGCATTATGGGTAAAATCTAGTTCTCACTGTTTTATCCATCTTTTTTACCCCCAGGATAATGACTCAAATATAGTATTCAAACACACAAATACACAAAACGCACCAATGTTCACAGTCATATAGCACATATACAAAATAACAGAGATGTTAGCCATGCTCTTATGTATTGATAGCAAACACACTGTCCAAGCCTCAGCTGTACTCATTACCTGGTTATGAATCCAAAGTGTACAGTAGCAATATTACTTGCCAGCTGAACTTACAAAGCGAAATGAGAAATTGCATTTGAAATCAAAAAACAAAATTAGTTTTGGCGTGCTTTTGTTCGAACTGTCCTTTGATTTTGCTTGAAGTATATGGGGACTTTTACCTTGTGACGTCCCTGAGTCTCCTGATTCTATTGGTCTAGCTCATGGGAGTTCCTGATTGGTTTTTCTCATAATTAGTTTGAGTATATAAGAGTGGTGTGCCTTAGGGGAGGGCACCCTTTCGGGAAACTCTCCTCATGAGTGGTTCTGGTTTTTCTTACACATGTAGCGTCAAGATATTATTGTTTGTTATCTCTTTGTTTTTCCCTTATCCTTAGACTTCTGTTTATTTTTATTATTTTACAATAACAAAGGCGTAGGTTGATGACGCATAATATAAGCTGTCGGCATCTCAAAAACACCACGCCATTATGCTAACATTTAAAGAACGTTTTGTCCTAACATTTACATGACTTTGATGTAAATTAGACAAATGTTCTATTAACGTTACTGGAAGAAAGTTTGTTCGAAGCCTAACCTTGCCAGAACGTTCCCTGAGCTGTGAATCTGCTAAATGGGACTAAAGATTTTAAGATAGTATAAACATTATCATGATTTTCTGTAAAGCTGCTTTGAAACAATGAGTATTGCGAAAAGCATACAAATAACACTCTAAAGGCGTTTCATTAAAATTGTTCTCTCATTTTATGCAAACATTCCAAAACATGTAAAATTATTACTTTAAGATTTTTTTTCTCACACTGTTATGAGAATGTTCAAGTAAAAATAACATTGTGATGACATTCCATGAAACAATGTCAGATGTTGTCCTTGGGGCCTTAAAGTGCTGGCTTCTGAATGTAGGTTAAAATGTACTGCTCACAAGACCTCCATTAGTTTTGAACATTTGGAAAACTAGAGTTTGTTGGAAAAGATAGAGACATTGCAAGCATGCACTCAAAGCCCAAGGACCTGAGTGTGTTGTATGGAACAGAAAGCCTTTTATCCCATAATGCCTCATCCCAAGCACACATAGACCCTTAAAAGAATAGTTCACACAAAAATACAGGTTCCAAACCTGTATATATTCCTTTCTTCTGTGTAGCACAAAACAAGATATTTCGAGGTACGTTTTAACTGTTTAACCCTCATCTTTCCCTCGTGGGTCAAAATGACCTAAAGCCCTAAAATTATACTTAAAAATAACAATTTCATGCCTAAACCTTTTAATTCAACCACAAAACTGCCCGAATCCATTCCCAAAAGGCATGGGGTCTTGGAAACCTCTGATGAACTCTCCAAAAAAAAAAAAAAAGAAAGGGAAAAAAGAATTTCAGGATGACAAAATTCATTTCAAAGTTCATTTTTTTAACTTAAAAAAAACAGGTATGTCGACTCTCGCTGTGTGTTATAGCGCCATCTTGTGCCCGTTATATGACTAGGCCTACAGTGTTGATGAGTGTAATCTTATTATGCGTCTGTCTGTCTCTATAATAGGCTGCCGATAAAGTAAAATATGTGTTCGCTAACCTGGAAAGGATACAAACAAGCGTGTTGCTGAATACACATAATTCACAGACTTTTTCAGAGAAAAACTGGCACTACATTTAGAAAAAAAATAGATTCATAACTATTTCACACACAATAGATGTAGGATTAGTCCTGTTGTGGCATTACTTAAATTTACAACTGATATATTTGAATTTATTTAACAGATATGTATTTTTTTCAATCATTACATTTAATTAAGAATTAAGTGTACTGTTAATTTATATTGAAGTCTATTTTAATTGCTTGTCAGTAGAATAAACAGTGCACTTTAACTATATTATAAAAACGCATTATGAAAGTAAATATATAATTGTATTAAAGTCCCACTTAAGTTGTTCCAAAAAATCACACTTGTTACATTTCATTGTTACAATTTTATTTCAACTTAATATACGATATACACTTATTGTGCATTCAGTGTGCCAAAAACATTGCATATAATTCACAAATAAGTGTATCCCTTTAAAGTATATTATTTGTGTAATAAGTACACTTTATAAAAGTACACTAACGTGCACTTTTATCGCAAGGGCATACGCTAGTGGTAAATAACATCAAAGAACAAACAGTCACAGAAAGATGTGTTTTATTGGTTCAACGGGTTTTTTTTTTTTTTTTACCACAGTGCTAACTACACAGAATGCTGACTGAAGCTTGGTCTAATTTCATTGTTTAGTTTGGTTAAAGACATTATGATTGTCATTGTGGAATGGTTGTAATAGTATAAACAATATTAGTTTAAATTCAAATAAAAATTCTCAAATAATGAACTCCATTAAATTTACATGATCTCAACACAGTAATTGCACTTAAACAAAATTCGGTGTATTGATGTGGCTTAGACAGTCAGGTTTCCCATTATCGTTCAATAAAAAGTTTAAGGCAATGGTTCAATAAATACAGTATTAATGACTTGCATCAAATTTAAAAAAATAAGAGAGAAAAAAAGTGCCACACACCAAAAACAACAATAAAATATTTGACCACATTAGTCTAAGCAATGGTATTTATGAAAAAATATACACAAGTGTTTCTTAGTTTTACAGAAGGTAAATTCAACCACCAGCAGTGTTCTGACATTCAATCTATTACCCATAAACATGCAGATTTGTACAGAAAGTCTATTTGGTATGCTTAAGACAGACACAGGGAATAAATAATAGGCACAGCACGCATAGGCCTGAAAATGGAAAATGAAACTCGTACTCGACTTTTAATTTTAAGCCAGTAGCAAACATGTATATAACCAGTTGGGAATTGTGAAATCCACATTAGTCTTTGGCTAACAAAGCTGGACCAGCAGCAGTATCTCTGGTACAAAGCAGTAGCAGAATCCAAAACATCTTTGGAGGTATATTTAGGCTTTTAGGTTAGTGACATGAGCTTTGTCACTTTGATAAAAGGCCAGGAGTGATCATGTCAGTCAGCATATTTAAAGCATTAGATATGAGTATAAGATAACATGCCAATCTTTCTTAGATAAAAACACCACCAATGAAAGTCATTATTTGCATCCTAACATGTGTTATAGCTTACTTTCCTGGCTCAAGATGAGACTAGAGAAGTATAGAAGATCTAGAAAAATCCAATATTCCAGAACTGGTGTTCTACAAGTGCTGTCAAAATCAATGCTTAAACACAGAGTAGCATTTCTCATCTTATATAAATCCTAATTTCATTTCAGGCACATCTGTGCTCAGTCTTTCTTCAGCTCTGATGGTTGGTACGGGCTAACAGGCCTGGGAGAGACGGACAGCTCTTGGTCCACTGGGAGTGTCACAGGGGCCACACTTTCGTTGTTCTCCAGCGCTCCGTAGGAAAACGAGCCGTTATAATCAGGCTGCACAGCCCAGCCTTTGTTGTGAATGGTTGGAATACCTGTGATGACACATGATTGGTTGTTAGGGTTGACGATAACAATAACAAATTAGCGGTGTTCAAGCAGTTAAGGCCTTTAAGATTTTTAAGCACACAAGCATCAAAAGACATTAAGTTTTATGTAGCAAGCATTTAACCACTGACATCATAGATGGAATAGACCATGTTTTAGCATGATTTACCATGATATACCACATTTTAGTGTTTTTTTCTTGATTTACCATGTTCCAGTATGATTCACCATGATTTACCCTTTTCTTGTATGATTTACCACAATTGAACATTCTAATATGATTCTAGCAAAGTTTACCTTGATTTACCATGGTAGATAAGCCAGTATCTTCGTATACGTACATGACATGGACCAAGACGCTGCATACCAATTTTCAAGTGAATCGGTCAGGTGGTCATAGCCCTTTTTTTTTTTCATTTAATAGCACCACCTAAAGTTCAATAGTCACATTTTTTTTTACTGGGATCTCAGATTAAACGCATACACATATACACAGAGTTAGGCGAAGCTATCTCATTCTCGAGTTATAGCGACTTAAGTAAAATAGGCTCCTCCCACAATGTTTATTTTACACCCCCTAGCGATCGTGAATCGAAATTTCAACCTTTTTTCGACAATTATTGATTGTCAGACTTCAGAACCAAACCAATGAAAAAATGTTCTCTGATTGGGGAAAAACCTAGGACTAGTTCGCAAAAGTAGTTTTTTGACGAATTTCAAAATGGCCGGAAAATCCAACATGGCAGATATGAAATCGGAGATATACGTTTTTTTTTTTCTTTTTTACCTTTTTAGCTCTCCAATGATATAAGACACTTGAGTCTATGACAAACGGTTTAAGAGTTATGAGCAGTTTCGTGCAATTAGTCGTCATAGCGCCGCCAATAGGCCAATTAGGGTTATACTTTGATAACCTCTCATCCTCCTTTGTACTACCATCTGTCAAAGTTTCAAGGCTCCAGCGCTTACGGTTTGGGCTGCACAATGTGTTTTACGGGAGAATAATAATAATAAAAATCAGCACAATTACAATAGGTTTTCAGCACTTTGTGCTTGAACACCTAATAAATCAGACATCTCTAAATAAGATATGACATCAGGTGGCCTTTTTATCTTAAGCCAAATTCCAAGCAAAGCACATGACTGTCTTCCCACCAGCTTCCTTTCCAAATCTTAATGAAGAAAGGTGAAAAAAAAATATAAATATATATACAGTATATATACATACATACCTTTCACCATGTCCATAGTAACATATGGCTCAAAGGATTTGACTTTCCTCTTGCTTTTAGTAATCAGGAACACTCCAAGAAAGCATATAGCACATCTGCGTAAATTTCAAAGAACAAAGACACATTTGAGCAAATCCCAGAGAATTTGTAAGTCACTGCTACTGCTGAGAAAACAAATATGTGTGGAATTTCAGATTTCCTCCTGACACAGATGTGTTACAGTGCATCACATAGTAATATAGTGAGTATTTTCCACCTTGTTGAATGAGATACTGAATGTAAAATTTAGGGCTGTCAATGGATATAAATATTAAATTTTTCATAATTAATTCATTAACACATTCAATTCAACTTAAAGGAAATAAAACTAATTAGTAAACTTTTTCTGCGATTATTAAATAGAGTAATTTTGTGAATGGCATGCACTACAGTTAAAAAGACTGGGATCAGTAAAACAAAATTGAAGAAATTAATACTTTTATTCAGCAAGGATGCATTAAACTGATCAAAAGTGAACTTAGACATTTATAATTGTTACAAAAAAACCCCATTTAAAATAAATGCTGTTCTTTTGAACTTTCTATTCATCATGAGAATCCTTTCAAATTTACATTTTCAGTCTCCACAAAAATCTTAAAGGGTTAGTTCATCCAAAAATGAAAATTCTGTCAGTATTTACTCACCCTCATGTTGTTCCAAACCTCTATGTGCTTATTTGTTCTGCTGAACACAAAGGAAGATATTTGGAGGAATGTTTTAATCAAACAGATCTCATTCCCCATTGACTACCACAGTAGGAAAAAATACATACTATGGTAGTCAATGGGGAATGAGATCTGTTTGATTAAAACATTCTTTCAAATATCTTCCTTTGTGTTCAGCATAACAAATAAACACAGAGGTTTGGAACAACATGAGGGTGAGTAAATACTGACAGAATTTTCATTTTTGGGTGAACTAACCCTTTAAGCTGTCCAACGGTTTTCAACATTAATAATGAAAAATTACATTTTAATACATATTGAAATAAAAAAAGTAATTTCACAATATTACTGTATGATGACTAGTAGTACTTAGAATGCATCATAAATCCTACCCCAACAGAAACATGCATATGTGCAGGACGTCTTCATGGTAAAACTCCTGATAAAATATGGCTCCTGTTTCAAAACAAATTGGGATGGGAATGAGAATGAGACCACTAACATGGTGCTGAAATGAAGACAGAGAAAGAAATGTGCAAATCCTACCTGCCACAATTGCAAATGTTGTGGAGAAAATGTAATTCACACAGGCAATTAGGCAGGAATCATACAGATAAGATGCCTGTGCTAAAAATCTAATAAAAGAAAGTCAAGTCATATTACAGAAAAACAGAACATCAACATCAACACAACACAACAAACACCAGAACTTACGATGCTTGAAAGACGACAGTAGCCACCATGCAGACAAACATGACGTAGAATATGGGATATGCCAGCTGTAGAGGACCCGAGATGCTAAGCACAATCATCCCTGAAACCGCCTTCACTGTGATTACAGTCACTGAACCTAAGACGCAAACCTCCATTATTTTGGTCATGGGTCTATTTATGAATTTGTTAGCTGTGCATTCCTTTAACTTTGCAAAACACATACTACTTGTGGATCAGTTTGAGTAATGTTTCATGGACACAATGGGCTCTACAGACAGCATATGTTGTGTAATTGTCCTACCAAGAAGTGCCACCAGTAGCAAAATCAGAACAAGGTAGTTTGCATTCCGCTGTTTGTAGAAATACAGCAGCAGACAGAATGTGATGATCCCCAGAAGCTGAAAAAACACAAACCACATTCAATGCTAATCATCAACACTTGAAAAAGATGTGGTGTTTTCACTCATCAACAAAAAATGGTTTAATATTTGCAATAAAATTTAAAAAATTATAATAATTTGGACTGTAACGATTTTAAGCATGAAATTATTCTCAGGCAAAAAAACACTTGCATGTTATACTTATTAAAATAGTCACATAATGACTTTCTAAATGATGAGGGTGTGTATTACCAAGTACAAGAGGAAGGGCCAGCCAATAACATGTTTTACTATGTTCTCGGCATTCAGCTTTTCATGGGAGTTAGGCCCAAACGTCACAAATAGGTAAGTGCCGCCCGCTGTCAAGGCACATCCCAGGAAAGTCAAGATGTAGCGCTCTACAGACACAAGAAAATGTGTGAAATCATTTCTGAAATGTCTGAACAATTACACTGCATAGGGACTGCATTTAATTGTTTGAATTTGCATTAATAATACAAATAAGTAGTTACTTGTTGCTTAGTAATGCAAAACCTCAATATTTTGAAAACACAGCATATATATATATACACACACACACACTGAGAAAGATGAGCAGAACTCACTCAAGAATTCCTGTGCCTTCCACTTTTCCCGCAAAAACAGGAAACCTAAGATTGAGCTTGCTGTTTAGAACAAAACAGAAAACACTGGTCATCTTCAGAGCATGGTTATTTGAGTTAACTAAAACCATTAAAAAAACATATTTGTTACTTGAAATAAAATAAAAGTTAACTGAAATCAAATCAATCATCTTTCAGCTAGTAAACAAAATAAACATTTCAAGTTTTCATATAGCTTGATGTAGCCTACTAAAATAACTAAAACTGAAATAAAAATGAATAAAACCTATATATAGACATACAGCCCCCACTCCCCACCAAAAAAAGACAAAACAAAATTGCTACACTAAAATAAATCCAAAATATTAATAAAAACTATAATTGTATCTCAATGAGACTTACATAACACTGCTTTAGAGCAACTGTATATTACACATAAAAATAAATGTTTATGGCAAATAACATCAGTCAAGAAGCACTGTAATATAAACATTTTAATTACAACAAATATAAGAAAACAGTATAAAATATGTAAGTGAATGCAACGTAACAGTAATAATACCTACTTATGACAGACACGGCATTAAGTGGAGCTATGAGAGAGAGTGGAGCAAAAGCATAAGACACAAACAGTGCGCCCTCCCCCACAACCATCAGCATCAGGCCAGACCACCAGGTCTTAGTGTAGAAGTATTGCCTTGGGTCTTTATTTCCTGCCAACGTCACATGACCTTGTTTCTGCGAGAGAAAACATCAGTCATTATGCATGTTTGTCTATTACACCTTTTTAAACAAACTCTCCTAGATACTGCACCAAACAGCAGCAGGGTTATACAACAAGATGTTGGGAAAAAGCAAATAAAACCAGATGACTTTCACAGGGCGTAACCTGAACACACCCTGACCCTGAATTACAATGCAATTATAAATGTAGGCAGCAAATACACACTTACCTGAATGCTGACTGAGATGCTGACCAACAGGTTTCCAAAGATAGCTAACAATGTACCAATGAGGTTTTCCTGTGAATAAATCACAAAGATAAGACATGTTAAAGACCTGTTAAAATGTAATGATATATATATATATATATATATATATATATATATTAGGGCTGTGCAAAAGTTAATTGCGATTAATCGCATCCAAAATAAAAGTCTGTTTTACATAATATATTTGAGTGTGCTGTATATAATTATTTTGTATATATAAATACCTATGCATGCATGTATATATTTAAGAATTATTTGCGCTTAAATTCTGTATATATATATAAATACATAATCTATATTATACAAATATAAATATTTTATATAGGAATAACACATTTTCTTAAACATATACATGCATGTGTGTGTATTTATATATACAAAATAATTATATACAGCACACACAAATATACTATGTAAACAGAGACTTTTATTTTGGATGCGATTAATCGCAATTAACTTTTGCACAGCCCTAATATATATGCATCTATCTATGCATCTATCTACCTATCTATGCATCTATCTATCTATCTATCTATCTATCTATCTATCTATCTATCTATCTATCTATCTATCTATCTATCTATCTATCTATCTATCTATCTATCTATCTAGAGTTATGTGAAAAAATAAAGTACTCCCTTTTGAATTTTATGGTTTTACATATCAGGACACAACAACAATAACAACATGACATATTACACCGTGTCATGGTTTATAAACAAAAACTAGGCCATGTGTGAAACACTAAGTACACCCTTACTGCGTCCATAGGAATTAAGAGGGCAAGTAGCAGTCAGGTGCTACTAATCAAGTGTCGTAGATTAACTGATCATCAGCAAGTTATGACAATGATCATGACCAACTCTATAAAAGCAGAAGTTTTGGCAGTTTGCTGGTCTGGTGCATTCAGGTGTGTGATAACACAATGCCGAGGAGGAAAGATGTCAGCAATGATCTTAGAGAAGCAATTGTTTCTGCCCATCAATCTAGGAAGGGTTACAAGTCCATTTCACAACAAATTAAACATTCTCCATCATTCTACAGTGAGGAAGATTATTTACAAGTGGAAAACATTCAAGAAAGTTGTCAGTCTTGCCAGAAGTGGACATCCCAGCAAATTCACCCAAAGGTGAGACCTTGACACCCAAAAATACACCTCAGACTACAGGCCTCAGTTAAGTTAATGCCTTGCACCTCAGTTAATGAACTGAGGTGCAAGGCACCAAACCCCCAATCGCTCCCTGGTTGCCACAGCAAAAATGGCTGCCCACTGCTTTGTAGGGGTGGGGGAAAAAATCGATTCTCGATGCATCGCGATGCGGACGTGGACGATCCTGAATCGATTCACAAATGTCAAAAAATCGATTTCAATTTTTTTTTTTTTGATATGTATTTATAATAACGTAATATTGACGGAACGCGAAAGACGGAACTCTGAAGCGCGGAAGTGCAGTGGCGGGACCGTCTGTGGCGTGCACATAACAGAAGTTGAAGGGGGAAAGGAGCTGGACAAGAGCCGCAGTTGTACGCTTTGTGGAATAAAACCAACGACGGAAACACGACAAATATGATAAGCCATATGACACCTTTCCAGCCAGAGGAAAAACACTCGGCTGCACCAGTCGTTATATTATTTATTTACTTACTACAAGTATGCTCCTAGTTCAAGCACACATTTATTTTCCTGGTCGTTCTTTGTAATGTTAATAAAATATATTGTGCATTAATTCTTTATGGGTCATTAATTTGTACTTTTAAAGCAAATTATTTATAGTCACACACAAAAGATTCAGATAATCGATTTGTAACATTATAAATGTCTTGTACTTTAACTTTTGATCAACTTAATTTATCCTTGATGAATAAAAGTATAGATTTCTTTTTTCTTTTGCCCAAAAAATTAAATAAAAATTCTTACCGACTCTAAACATTTGAACGGTATTGTTTAATGTTACAAAAGCTTTCTATTTCAGATAAATGCTGTTCTTTTGAATTTCTAGGTGATTCTCTGAATCGGGTGCCCTTCAAGTCCCCCAAACTTGCTTCAAATATTTTCAATTGAAGGAAATCACAAAATACATTTTAATGCTGTCAATTAATAGAACCAGGTGCATTTGCATTATAATGCAACAAAATTGCTTTTGAAAAAAAAATTTAAAGTTAATAAATGTAAAGATAATGAGTTGCCTAAGTAGTAGATAACAAGCATGTTTGCATGTCCCCACTAACCATCATTATATTTTCAATGAATATCAAACAAATAAAAAGTGCAATTAATACCAAAATGTTGCTGCTGCTAATATAATCATATGTTGATCTCGTGTATTTTCGTTTACTGTTGTGAAATGGAAAATCAATAATCGGTAATCGAGAATCGTTAATAATCGAAAATCGACTGTAATCGAATCGGGACTTCAATAATCGTAATCGAATCGAATCGGGAAATCAGACAGATTAACCACCCCTACTGCTTTGGCTGTGTTAATGTGTGTGCAGTGCACTAACTTGGATGGGTTAAATGCAGAGGACAAATTCCAAGTATGGGTTACCTTACCATACTTGGCCTTCACATCTCCCTTTTTCATTTTCAATGATACTTATAAAACACTGCTTCAGAAGTTCAGAGCTGTAAAAGTTCATGACAGTACAATTAGAAAAGATGACAAGTATGGCATGTTTGGTAGAGTTGCCAGCAGAAAGCCTCTTCTCTCTAAAAAGAACACAGCATGACTTAGTTTTGCATAGTTGCATCTGAACAAACCTCAAGACTTCTGGAAACTTGGGACAGAGAAGACTTTGTTTTGATTTTGATTCATTTGGCAGCCACATGACCTGAAAACCTTGCAGTGATTGAATCAACCATGAACTCATCCAACCTATTCTAGAGTCAAATGTGAGGCCATCTGTCTGACAGCTAAAGCTTGGCCGATGTCGGGACATGCATTAGGACAATGATCCCAGGCACAACAGCATATCTACAACAGAGTGTCTGAAAAAGAAAAGAATCAAGGTGTTGCACTGGCCCAGTCAAAGTCCCAACCCCTGACAAAAAATGTTGTAAAGAAGAGTGTGCCAAAATTCCCCCAGACGGATTTGAGAGACTGATAAAGACATATAGAAAATTATTTCAAGTTATTGCTGCTAAAGTTGGTTCTACAAGCCATTAGGCTAAATCAAAGTGTGTGCTTGCTTAGTTTGTCACATTTGGTTTCTCCTCCATTTTTGGCTATATTTTTGTTAATTAATAATGAATGACACGGTGTGATATGCCATGTGTTGTTGTTCATCTGATGTTGTATTTATCTAATTATAAGACCTACTAAAAACCAGGAGGTGTCTTTAGACCACGACTGTATGTTTATGCATTAGTGTGGCATTAAGGTAAATCAGTATTAGGCTAACAGTCAGTTTTAGTATAACATAAAAGCTATTTCAAGATCAGCTGTTGTAAAAACGCTTATTTTCGTTTTGCATACTATTATTGCAAACATTGTAGCACAGACTCACGGTGTAAGAGTCTTCCGTCACATTGTCGTCTCGTGCCATCCTCACGCCGTTCATCCTTACTTCATATGACTTCCTTCCGCTACACACGCATCACCGAGCCCGTCTCACAGCTCAGTCCAGTCGCCACTCGGATGAAATACGGTTCTACTTTCCTCTGTTTGGGCTGCAGTTTACGTGGATCGCCATTTTCGAAACGCCGTTTCTTCCGGGTACACCTGTCAAGTGACTTGACGTTGTACGCAGGTTCCGTGTGACGTTGGATTCATGAGATGTGACGAAGCACGCATTCTACCAATACATGAATAAATACTACTACTACTAATAAATATTTGTGTCGTTTTAATGGACGGTGTGAATGGTGGAGATATATTTTCACAATACAAATGTTTTTGCTTTGACAACTTTTAGTTTGACGTTGACAGTCGGAGGCTGTAAAGTTGTTTTGACCCTAAATTCAATCTTTTTGTCTAATATAAAACTATCGAGTCTCTTCAGAATAATTGGATTAAACCGCTCAATTCATATAGCTAGATTACGGTATCTTTATCAACTTTTTTGAAGCCTCAAAGTGCAGTAGACCTAGTATGCTTACACTGAGGGACAGAATTTTCTCAGATTTCATTAATATCTTCATTTGTCTTCTGAAGATAAACGAATGTCTTAAACGTTTGGAACAACATGAGGGTGAGTATTCATGAGAATTTTGGGGTTAACTATGCCTTTAATTGTCTGCCATCTGTACATTGTTAATGTCTACTAGACAGTTCCAACAAGGATCTGTAAAGCTTATTTGGATTAAAAAAAAAGCGATTTTTTTTAATAAATAAAAAAATATATGTAAGATGCATCATGTAAAATGGACTTTCTTTCTTTCTCTTTCTTTCTTTCTTTCTTTCTTTCTTTCTTTCTTTCTTTCTTTCTTTCTTTCTTTAAAACACTTAAACATTGACACTTGGAATCTGATTTGGACAGTAGATGGCACCAGTGGACCTTCTTAAAGTAAATACACTTAAATGTCAATATCTGACTGGTCATGGTTTGACTCTGCTGTTGAACCACACAATGATGAAATATATTGTTGGGTACACTGCTATATGTGAGAGTAGTTTTCTCGGAAGTACAGTTGGCGGTATAGATCAGACTTTCCCAAGACCTACACCCAGACCAAAATAATACCACCTCTGGGTCATAACACCACTGATAATATTAGCAATATCAAATGCCATGATCCAGGATTTATATTCTAATGAATTTAAATGCTTACTTTCTAGTACTGTAGCCAAGGAGCAGTTCAAAGCCATTGAGGTCCAGTGAATTCCCTGCAGTGCTGAGGATATTTATTGTGTCAACCTGTGGTTGAGGTAATTATGAATCTATAGTTTGTTAGAAATAGAGTAATGACCCATATACCCCCAACACACAGGATATATGAGCCCAAGACCACAAGATTCTGCCTGAAAGCAGCATCATGAGATGTTCCAAAACTGATATTTAGCAATTTTCCAATATCATATCCCAGAGCTATGAGGCTACATGCTGGTAACAACTGTTATGACACTCATCAATGGCACAACTGAAATGACGCACATTTTAATTTTGTTTTAGGGTTCACTCATTCCTTTAGGCAAAATATGTGTATTCTAACTCCCCCACCTGCTAGTGATAGATAAAACACTGAAGACAACGAATAGATGGGTTGTGGTGTGGCTTACATGAAACGAATCTGTGACCTTTCACCATTTTGCGAAAGGATAAAAGAATCTATAGCTAATAGATTTTTTTGTAGAGAAGAGGTACACCCATGTCATAATAGTTACTGATGTTATGAGAAATGTGTCATCACTCTACGCATGTTCAGATGTCATTGGGTGTGGAAGGCCTGTGGAAAGCAAACCTTTAGATCATCAAGTGTATGCAGGATTATTATTATCTCTTGATCAGTAGCACACCTATGGAAAGTGTCCAACATCATTTTAATCACAAAAACATTTAATTGATTATACAGGTGATTTTTATTGATTATATAATTTGAAACAAACAGGACGACAATAATTTTAATAGAATAAAAGAATACTAAAAAATCTCAATTTTAATCTAAAAATACAAAAAAAACTGTTGTAAAAAAAATAAATAAAAATAAATAGCTGCAAAAATGACCTGTAAAAAAAGCAGTAAGGTATCATATTTCTTCTTGTTCCATGGAATGCAGATATCTAGAATGAATATTTGACTTGAGGCAAGATCTGAAATCACTTTGTTAGTGAGCAAGTTTTATAATAAGCAGAATTATTTTTACAAAACGCTGGAGTAGATTTTTGCTGGAATACAAAATGACACAGTATTGATGCATCAGATGGTTCAGAGCATCAGGCTTCCCTTCCGTGATGTTTTTACACTAATTATGAATAAATAATAATGCTTCTATCTGTGTGGAGAAATACTCCCTTTCACTGACATCACCCTCGGAAGAAAAGGAACATTCTTTCCCTTAAGGTTTGTCCAAGAAGGAAATAAACAGCACCTCTAATAGTGTAACGTAAAGTTTCAGATTAAGATCAAAGATTCATAAATCATTTTTTTAAAAGATTAAATTCACTGAAGCGTTTGCTTGCGGCCCTAATGGGTTTAACAGTTGTAGTTTGACTTTGGTGACAGTTTTTTTTTTTTTTTTTGGAGATTTTTTTTTTGGTCCCATTTTTAAAAGCTTATTTAGTAGTATACTAGGAAATTGCTTATGCCTATCAATATAAAAAAAATCTATGCTGCAGGAAATAGCCCTTCAAAAAAAAGACTTTAATATATAAAATGTTGAAGTCAGAACTCAGGCTAAAAATGAGAAAGCCTCCCAGGACAATTGTTTGAGGTTTAATCCTTTAATTTTTTTTGATGGATTTGGGAAATACCAGAAAAATATATTTCTTTTTACTTCCTGAAACTCTGTTATTCTACCTGTAGGCATGTTAATGTAATTTATGACTTAAGCCTTCTATAGTTATTGTTGACTCATGAATTAAAACACTGTGAGACGCACTGCCTGATTAGTGACTGATCACAACTTTTCCACTATCTTCATCTTAATTTGAAATGTATTCATTTGAAAAAGTTTATTCATCTCTTTATTGCATTTACATTTAGTCATATCATACGCTTTTATCCAAAGTGATTGGAGGAGCATCCCAAAAGTATTTTTTTGTACATTGGAAAAGTAAAACACAAACTAAAAATGTCTAGCCATTCAAAACTTTTCAGAAAAAAAGTTTTTCTATCATTTATGAAGAATATATACATATAAATAACCAAGTCAAATAGATGCTGTAACAAAGCTACCTCTTCTGTTGTGGTTGTAACCACTGCTGCCAGTTTTTTCCTGTACATTTAACAGATTTTTTACAGTGTTATGTTGCAAATGTAGATTCTAAGAAACATGAATTGTTTGAAACATTCCTAAAACTGCAGCATTTTTCTGTTGTTTATTTTTTTATTTTATGAAGCACATTCAGATCACATTTCACAATGAAAACACTACATAAATACGAATAAGACTAATGCTTTCCAAGTAATACAAAGTTAAATTGTATTGTGTGACAGCAGCCACCTGTTTTAAAATGTTTTAGTAGAATACTGAACCTGGAAAAATAACTCAAATAATAATTTGGTGGCTTTATATTTCACAATAATTAACAACTATTAATACAATTTCTGAATGCACTTAAGTGATTGCTTGAGTTGGACATTCCAAAAAAAGCCTAAAAATCCAACAGTTAGTTTTGTCTAAAATGTACATCAGTTGATCAGAAATTAGTATTTGACTAACTATATTTATATACTATAAACTATTATATTTTTTACTCAACATTTCAATGAAACATTTTGAGAATGGAGAAATTATACTGATCCCCCTTTTCAGAACAACGGCTTATTTCAAATCAATTTAATTCATAAACAACAACATAAGAAATCGAGTAAGTTGAACACAATTAACAATCATGTGCAAAAAGTGGGTAATTAATTTTCCCAGCATGGTTTGATATGGACTGTATAAGGAGAGCAAGCAGTGTTGAAATTAATTGTAATTTTGTTCGCTTTTGCCCAATTAATATAGGAGAATATATATCTGTTTTGCAAAACACATTTTACTGACCAGGTGTAAATGGAATCGTTTTGATATATTATATATTATCAGATATATTATATATATATATATATATAATATATCTGTTAGTGTTTGAAATTGAAAGTGCTTCTGCTATGTTGGGATTTTGTGACGGTTACCATTGTGGTGCAGGTGAACAGGGTGTTTAGATTGAGTACAGGCCAAGAGACAAAAGACTATTGCAAGTTTTGCTTTATAAAAGCGCAAGAACTATGTGTGCCAGTGCAGTGATAACTTCTTACTTATTCATACTTAAGTTTTGTTGTTGTTTACTCAATTCATAAGGTATATTTCTTTGATTTTGACAACTTTAAAATATACTCAACTTTTTAATTTTCATGCAAAAATTGTTTCACCAAAAATTGAGTCAGTTTGCATCATAATTTTAAAATAACAGGTTTATTTGACAGAGAAAGAACAAACAGTTATGGGTGATTTTCTTCCGACTTAAACTGAACTCAAAACAAGATATAATCTATGAGTGTACAGGTCATTCCTTTCCATGCATTATGCAGTGAAAAAATTTAGTGTAGTTTTAAAGCTTCAAAAAAATATGCAAAAGCACTAAATATGATTAAAGTGGTCTATATGACTTCTTTAGTCCAAGTCTTCTGAAGCTATATGATAGTAATGGCTTAAAGGTCTTCAAAAACAAAACAAAAATCAAACAGTGCAATTCATAATTTCCGTTTTGTGTTTCACAGAAGAAAGAATGTCTTGGGTTTGGAACATAATAAGGGCGAGTATATAATATTCAGTGCAGTTTGTTTTTGACAATGCATCTGATAAAGAAGAAAAAAAATGTTTCTCTCAAGATTAAATAGATCTCCTGTTTCTCTGATTTTATTCTTCAAAAAAGATTGCAAATTTCTCTGTGCTCAGATTATTAAAGTCTGATCTTTCATTATAAACTATTTTCTCACTCAACATTTCCAGGACAGTTTTTATTGTATATAATGATTATACATTTAGGCTATTTTATTTTTCTGATTTTTTTTTTTCTCCCTAAAAAAACAATCTGAGAAATTCAGCGTAGAGGCAGTTCTGGCAGATCACAAGCTGATCCACGTCTACCTA